GCACTCACTCGTACAGGAGGCATTTTGTCCCGTTGCCGGGTCCAGGTACGTCATGTTTAGGATGCCCCCAAGAGGAAGGGCGGTGAAGCGGAACGTCTTGGTTCCTCGACCATCCTGATGAGTGTTCCAGAGTCTGAGCTTCGTGGGCTGGAAGCCGAAGCCGAACGAGGCCTGCCAGAACCCCAAGGCGTTGTCGTTCAGCAGCCAAGTGTTGCCCGGGCCACCGACTCCATCCGTCTTGCAGATAATGTTGCGGGGATCATTAAAGCCGGGTGTAGAGGTGGTTGAGGTTGATGTGATATTGGCGCTTGACAGATTGATGATTTGGCCATCTGGAGTGCTGGGGGTGCTGGTGTTGCCGAGGCCAGTAAAACTACCACCGAAGACAATGTGGCCATTGGAGGCTTTGGTAATGGACGAGACAGGGCCATTGAAGCCAGCAAAAGGAAGGTTTGTGAAGCCATTCGTGCCCTGCCAGGCAATGGCGTTAGTCGAGTTGGCGCTCCGGAAGTTACCTCCGACATAGACCATGTTGGCCTCTTGGTCGCAGAGCAGGGCATTAACCTGACCTGAAAGACCAGCCAGAGGCGTGATGGCGGATGTATTGGGGTTGAACAAGGCAATGCCTTGTGACTGAATGCCATCCAAGCTCGTAAAATTACCGCCAATTACCACTCCCTGCATCGTCCCATCTTGGAGGGTGAATGTGCACATGTCGTGAATCGAAGCATCAGTAGAAATGTCCGAAGCAAAGGCGCCATTAGGCAGCTGGGCAAGCAAAGATTCACTTCCATTGGTGTTGTAGGGCCTCTCGTTCTGTTCCTCAAACTGAAAGCGGGAAATGCCGTTGAAGTCACCTGCCACCCCAATCCTTCCAAGCTGAGAAAGGTCTAGGTTCACATCGGGAACCGGGGTGAACTGAATCGCAGTCGCCAAGGCAGGTGCTAGAATTGCGAACGCCAGCAATTTCGACCGCTGATGGCGGCGGCGCGCTGAAGGACGCCTATGGAGAGCCGAACGCATTGCTATCGCTGTTCAGTTGGGTGAATGGTCGGCTGGGATATGAGAATGATGGGTATCGAAGTTTTTGGATCGGGAGTTTTGATGATAGAAAAGTCGGACCGGGTATCGCGTCGCATTTGCTGAAGTAGCCTATTTTTGGACGCTGGCCATGGCAAGAATAATCTGTCAAGCGTTGTTTGGTCGGTCGGTGAGTCGGGAGGCGCGTCGAAAATCGGTGGTGCGAAATTAAACGGAAGCGAGAGGAGTCGAGTCGAATCGAGTCGGGTCGGAAGGTAATGATTGAGGGGGTTAAACGAGTGTGTGGTGTAGGATGAATACAGAAAGGGGAAGGGAAAAAAAAGCCGATTCGTCGCCCAGTTCTACCGTTGGGGAAAGAGATGTTAGAACTGAGCTGCAGCCATTTGATGGCGATGGCGATGACGATGAAAAGAGACAGAGAGAGAGAGAGAGAGAGAGAGAGAGCGAAAGAGAGGAGTGGTAAGCCAGGCCGCTGCTCTTCTCCCCCTGTTCTTTTGACTGTTTTGTTGTTTGTCGGTGGAGAGGAAGGAGAGGCTGAGCCGCCAGGCGAAATGGAGTTGGAATGGAAAGGACGTGCCCCATATGTACCTGCCCGTACCTACTTCAGGGAAATTGGTGGTGACGATTTAGGTTGCACTTACCTCCTATCAAAGCACAGACACTTCTTTTTGGCGGTACGGCTACGGCTGCACAGCTGTTGATTGTGCTCAGGTGGGTTTGCCAGACTAAGTACTCTGTAGGCCGATGGCAATAAGAAGGCTAGGTAGAGATGTGAGACGAGCCAGAATAATATCGTCAGGAGTTATAATGCCCGTTCTCTCCTTGTTTTTTTTTTGTCGGTATTAGTCCGATGTCTCGGCGGAGAAAAGAATGGTTGGGAGCGAGAAAAAGGAAGTAAGTCACATCGAGTAAGTGGGTGGTTGAGCGGGAACTCTGGAAGAATTCAGTGCAAAGCTGTTTCGGTAAGGACTCAAGTTATTCTTGGGCTCGAAAACGCGTGTATCACGTCGTCGATTTGGATTGACGCGTGGGTAGATAGATGCAAATTGTGGTGTGCAGTTGTAATGTCTCGTTATCGTGTTGCCTCTTGCCGTAACACGAGGTGTCTGTGTACCAACCCGTGTTGGCAAGGTACCAGGAGAAGGGGAGAGCGGTCGCTGAGAAGCGGGTGACGCCACAGAAGTGAATACATAAACTAAGGCACAAGGTTCGGCCAATCAATGGCGTCGAGACGGACGATCCAGTGCTGTCTCCAACCCCAGGCTTTGGCAGGTCGTTAAATGCCCTTCCCCTAGATCCAGGGGCACTAAATGTCGGTTGAACACTTCTACACACAGGCGAGGGTCCAGTGTCGTGCGATGTAACTGTGGTCTGTCTGTTGGTGTATTGCTTTTTCGTCTTCACTTTTTTACTGGAGCAAGTCGTGTGTCCGACGGTAGTGGCTGAGCGTTAGAAAGATAGATTTGCTAAATGACGAAACGGCTGGTAGGGCGTCTAATGAGGACCGAATATAAAGGCACCGCAAGTTACGAAAACCGCGTGGGCGGTTGGCTGTCAATGGGGAAATGTCAGACAAGCGTCCTGATCGCCGATGGCCGAGGACCCGATTCCACCTACAACTTTCGTTCTCGAACCTACCCGTGGATTACTGCGTAGAGATTGAAGATGAGCGATAAGAGACGCTCCGCAGTGGGAATCCCGGGTAAGGTGGGGTTTCAAGATCTAAATGTCGAAAAGGGAGGGCAGGCCTAGAGGAAGAAAGTGCCTCAGTCACAATTGGCGCACTCAAACTTGTACACGGCTCTGGGGCTCTCAGGCGCGGTGGTATACCTAAATATTACCTAACGCAGGAGGTAGACCAGCAGTTAGGTAGTCCACAGGGATCGATGTCAAAAGATGCTAGGGTATTGGGCGCCTCGTAGTTTTTCCCGCGGACGAAAAAAGACGGCCCTCGCAAACACTACGAGGAGCAGTCAACGTCTTCGGGTAGCACTGCCAGGAAACAGATCGGCCTTTCCAAGGTATTGGCTTGGGGTGGACAGACGTTGAAAGGGAGGCTGTTCGTTTGCACTCGGGCCTCCCTACGGGTATCGATGTAGGTATTCTAGATCCGGGGCATGATTGATTGACGGCTGCCGTCCGTGATCCAGTGTAGGTAGGCCCTCCTGGCGCACGTTCTTCCTGCAGCTGCTGATGCAGTGCCAGAGTCCAGATGGCGGGACGAACGGTTGGTAGGTAGAAGCCACCGGAGACAATTTCAGGACAGACCCCAATCGAGCGCAAGTGACTGGAGCACATGTCTCTGGTGTAGCGCCCTGACTGGCCCATTTGAGGCTGCACCTGCAGTAGCGTCAGGTACGGGCTCGGACCACGTCCCTCCTAACTAGGTAGGTACTTAGCGGTGCACTAAGACTACATAGGTACATGATATCCTACTTGGCACGAATGGTTAGTTTGCCCCTCTACTTGTGCAGTTGCAATGGCTGACCCCGGGAACCTTGTTGTCTGGTTTCCCGTCTTCGCACTTGTCCGTCGGACGTCATAAGGAGCACCATGCGACAGTTAAGGGGCCTGTCTCCCTTTTTGGGGCGAAAACCTTCTCCTACGTTTTAGAATCATTGCCCCGGAACCACTGGAAGAATTCTGGCTCTTGCCGCACGGGACTTGGCTTGCGATGAGGGCTTGGGGAGGGGGGTTTCTTCAGATGTCGCGGCATGGGTCAAGCCTCTGTCTCGCACCAGTTTGCCGTGCCGTCCAACTCGACGAGGGGGCTTGCCACACCTCTTCTTCAAACCCATTTCGTCTCAATGCCCATCCTTGGTGGGGGTACACATCCTGGTCACTCCAACGACGTTATCTTCGTCAGTTGACTCGGTCCTGCTTCTGCATAGCCATACATAGCATCCGTACTTCTGTGACCACTGCATTGAATGTCGTCCACGATGAATTGGTTGGTTTGCCGTTGTCTTGGAATGCGGCAGCTCCCCAATGCTACCTAACATGGACCCACTTTGAGAATGGGCACGTTATGATGAGAGAGAGAAACTGAGTGCTAATACACGCGGGACGTGCCTGGGTACGCGTCCGCCCGCTTTATAGGGAGGGTCCTTGAGTCAAATCGCCAATTTGCAGTGCTGAGACACAAGCAGTACTGCACCTGGCCACACAAACGAAACAACCCAAATTCTTCCTTACCCAAACTCATCTTGTGCGACTGATTGTACCCATGTAAAGAAGTCACACTTCACGGACGGGAGACAACAACGGATGCGTTCTCCATTCCGTTTGAAAGAGACGGATATCAGTTCTGGCATCCCTCGACATTGGACGGAAAGCCGTGCCTCTCCACCAAATTTGAGCTTGACTCGCACGTCTCTGTTTGCTCCAGTCTGTCACCTCATCTTTGCCCCGTGACAACCCATACATATTATGTAGTTTATACTATGTAGCTTCGCTTAAGCCATCGATTATGCAGCCTATTTTGCGGCAAAAGCGTGCCTCGCGCGCAAGAACCCATCAAGTGGGTACGTCGATCCGGCACGCTGAGCTCCGGGGCGCTTGACGCTTCCTTGATGCACCGCCGTTCAACAGAGGCTTTTCAACTCCGTCTTATCCGCATGGCTCGAAAGGGCACGTCCGCACTTATCGTGCGTTTGATTGGACCGCTTGACGATGCCCCGAGCTTTCTGACCGCCAAGGCTGCTTAGGTTCTCACAAACGAACATATCTCCCTACACAGGTAGTAGAGCGTGGTCATAAATCTTTATCCTTTTCTAACAACAAAATACCCCGGCTGCTTGTTGTGCCAATCAGGGAAACACATCGGCTTGTATCACTTGTACTGCTCAGACACCTCTCCGCCCTGGCCTTTGTTTCCTGGTTGCTGCTCAACCAGAGCGGCCACTACCAATTGAGTGATGCAGATGCTGCGACACGCAACAAAAATAGCCCCAGCCAGATCACGCTCCCTGAACCTTGAAGGTCCGGCCACTTGCCGTTTTGCGCTCCTTCTCCTCACTGTCCGGACGCGCGCGACGAAGAACTGCAATTTGTCAGTCGAAGGCATCAGTTGACAAAAGAGCTGTCTCTTCTCACCTTGCAGGAAGTCGGCTGTACGCTTGCGCATACGCGAGTGGATGTATGCCTTGGATGCCTTGATGTGGTAGTGAAAGTAGTCACGGAAGGTCTGGATGTGGGAGATGACGTCGGGCATTCTCTGGGGTGTAAGATGGCGTGGGAAGAGAACTGTATGACGAGGTTAGTACAACAACGCCGCGGCAACAGCGTAAGGACCACCTACCAAAGGTAACATATCCAATTTCACCAGTGCCAGTGTCTCTGACTCCCGGTACTCCCTGCAGCTCCAAAGGAGGGTCGTTCCTGAAGAGCACCTGAGGAGCGTTCTGAATAGCTCGCCGACGAGCATCAACGAATTCTTGAATAAAGATCTTGCCGAAAACACGGTCGGTCTCTTCGCGGAATATGGTGCTGAAGATGACGGTAACACGGTCGTGACTGGCCTTGACGTAAATGGCCTCCTCCTCGCGATAGTGAATAGCCATGACTTCGCCGCCCTCGCGCACGCCCTGAGGAGCCTCCTCAGAGGTGTACTTGGATGCTTCCTCCTTCAATTTGTAGTGCTCCTCGTACGCCGCCTCGAAAGGAGCAGCCATGGCATTGCGCTTCAGCAACGCCATCTTCATAATCAGTGCTTCCCGTTCGTCTGTACTGATTGTCAGTCCACGCCGCATCGATTATCGAAGCATAACTGACCCTTGTCCTCGGGGAGGTTCTCAAGGTCGATCATGACCGAAAAGTCATAGCCGGGCTCCGGCGGTACCACATATTGGCCATATTCCCTCTGCAGCACCTGCTCCGCGCCGTACTTCACCAGATCCTTGTAGCATCTTATTTGGATCGAAAGCTGGATCTTGGTCTTCGTCTCAGGGGTCGAGATGTGGTAGATGACGCCGTCAAAGTCGGAGATAGTCTGGTCGATGTGAGCGGCAGGGGCACTGCCTTGGAAGTTAGCAAGCTCTCGAGCTTTGGCGGTGGAAAACCATATTACGAACCCGGAGAACCTCTCGGTCAACACCGACTGGATGAGGACGTTCTGATAGTCTAGGAGAAGCATCGTGTCTACGGCCAATTGCTCAAGCGTCTCCTGCGGTGTTGTTGCGTCGTTGTTCGCTGATGATGCCTCGTGGTGGGGCCTGACGTGAAGGTCAGTGTCGCTGTCGGAGCTCGGTGGCTGTGATGCTCTCATGCGGGACCAGAACACCGGATATACTTCGGGCTTATTGCCCCACTTCCATGTTTATCGATAAGAGGAAACTTTTTTGGAATGAAGGTGGGAGGTTCGAGATTTTGGTGGTTGGCACTCACACCTGTCGCATAGCAGTGGCCATTGACGAAAGGCTGTTGGCACCAGGAAATCCGCAAAAATGGTTAAGTCATATTTGTAAGTATATCAAACCGGATATATGTTATTTGTTGTTCTAACTCTGATTTTTGCGTAGAAAATACGAGCATAGCAAGTCCTTCGGCATTGTCGCATCCAACACATCGAATCTCGTTTGGACCCCCCAAGGCAGAGCTGGTAGCGGCGCCGGCCACGCAATCGTAGCCGCGAACGAAGATGTTTTGTGCTGGGATATCAAGAAGGGCGAGCTCTTGAGCAGGTGGCGCGACGAAAGAAACACTGTGCCTGTCACCGCGATCGCGCAGAGCCAGGTTGACAAAGATGTTTTCGCGGTCGGATATGAGGACGGAAGCATTCGCCTGTGGGACAGCAAAATCGCGACGGTGATTGTTAACTTCAACGGGCACAAGTCGGCCATTACGACGCTGGCCTTCGACAAGTCAGGCGTGCGATTGGCCAGCGGTTCCAAGGACACTGATGTCATTCTCTGGGATCTCGTGGCTGAGGTTGGCCAATTCAAGCTAAGAGGGCACAAGGACCAGATCACGGGTTTGCAGTTCGTTGAGCCCGAAGGACAGGTTGAGGATGAGGAAAACACGGCAATGCTCGACAGTGATCCGTCCGCCGAAGGCTACCTCCTTACCACCGGCAAGGACTCCTTGATTAAGCTTTGGGACTTGTCCTCGAGGCATTGCATAGAAACTCATATCGCGCAGACGAACGGCGAGTGCTGGGCCCTTGGACTTTCTCCCGACTACAGCGGTTGCATTACGGCCGGAAACGACGGGGAGCTCAAGGTGTGGTTTCTGGATACGACGGGGCTCGCTGCATTGAAGGGACAGGTTGACGCGCCGCAAAACACTAAATTTCTCCACGACAGGGGTACGCTTTTCCGCCAAAATAAGGACAAGGCCATTGAGGTGGTCTTCCACCCGCGCCGAGATTATTTTGCAGTCCACGGCACAGAGAAGGCCGTGGAAGTGTGGCGCATCAGATCCGAGTCGGAGGTAAAGAAGTCTTTGGCCAGAAAGAGGAGGAGAAGACGTGAAAAGGCCGGCAAGGAAGCCAAGGAGGAAGGTGACGGTGCAGCTGAGAGCGGTGAGGCAGACGACATCTCCACTGCAGATGCGAGTGACTTTTTCGTCCAGTACGTCATTGTCAGGACGGGCGGCAAGGTGCGATCAGTCGACTGGGCCGTCAACAGTGGCAGCAAGGAAATCCAACTACTGGCCGGCACGACGAACAACCAGCTTGAGTACTACAGCATACCCACAAAAGAAGGATCGAAGTCGAAGAAGGATGACGTGCCCGACTATACGCGGTCGCTGGCGGTGGAGCTCCCTGGACATAGAACAGACATCCGCGCCGTGTCTCTCAGCTCCGACGACAAGATGTTGGCCACGGCTGCCAACGGAAGTCTCAAGATCTGGAACATCAAGACGCAAGCATGTATCCGGACGTTCGAGTGTGGATACGCCCTTTGCTGTGCGTTCCTACCGGGAGACAAGGTGGTTGTGGTGGGTACCAAGACCGGAGAGCTCGAACTCTTCGATGTCGCTTCCGCAAGCCTCCTTGATAGTGTTTCCGCGCACGAGGGCGCCATTTGGTCATTACAAGTGCATCCGGACGGTCGATCTGTGGTGTCGGGTAGTGCAGACAAGTCGGCCAAGTTCTGGGATTTCAAGATCGTCCAGGAGGAAGTTCTGGGTACCACACGTACAACACCAAAGCTGAAGCTCGTCCAGTCGAGGACACTGAAGGTGTCCGACGATATCCTGTGCGTGAGGTACTCCCCAGACTCCAAGTATATCGCCATATCCCTCCTCGACAATACTGTCAAAGTCTTTTTCACCGATAGTCTCAAGCTCTATCTCAACCTCTATGGCCACAAGCTCCCCGTCTTGAGCATGGACATATCATACGACAGCAAGCTCATCGTCACGAGTTCCGCCGATAAGAACATCAGGATATGGGGACTCGACTTCGGTGACTGCCACAAGGCCTTATTCGGCCACCAGGACTCCATTCTTCAAGTGGCCTTCGTCCCGCACAACTCGGACGGCAACGGCCACCACTTCTTTAGCAGCTCCAAGGACCGCGTTATCAAGTACTGGGACGGCGACAAGTTTGAGCAGATTCAGCGTCTCGACGGCCACCACGGCGAGGTCTGGGCCATGGCTGTCGGCCATAGCGGCAACTTCCTCATCACCGCCGGCCACGACAAGTCCATTCGTGTCTGGAACGAGACCGATGAGCAGATATTCCTCGAGGAGGAGCGCGAGAAGGAGATCGAGGAGCTCTATGAAAAGACACTCACCACATCGCTTGAGCGCGACCAGGATGCTGATAACCAGGATGGCGAGGTCGGCGCCGCCTCCAAGCAGACCGTCGAGACCCTCATGGCCGGCGAACGCATCGCCGAGGCCCTCGAGATCGGCATCGCCGACCTCAATCTCCTCAAAGAGTGGGAGGACGCCAAGAAGTTGAACCCTCATGCACCAGCCCCTCAGCGCAACCCCATCTTCCTCGCCCTTGGCAACATCACCGCCGAAGCATACGTCATGAGCGTGCTGAGCAAGATCCGGGCCTCGGCGCTACACGATGCGCTCCTAGTGCTGTCCTTCTCGACGGTGCCCATGCTCTTCACATTCCTCAACCTCTTCGCCCAGCGCTCCATGAACATACCGCTGACGTGCCGCATCCTCTTCTTCATGCTCAAAACGCACCACCGCCAGATTGTTGCCAGCCGCACCATGCGCGGTATGCTTGACGGTATCCGCGCTAATCTGCGCTCTGCGCTCAAGCGCCAAAAGGATGAGATGGGTTTTAATATTGCTGCGCTCAAGGTTGTCGGCATGCAGATCCAGGAGAAGAGCGTCAAGGATTACGTGGACGAGAACTGGGATGATGGCGACAACAACCGGGCCGTCAAAAAGCGAGCCTTTGTGCAGGTTTCGTGATCTCATCGGATTAGGGCGCATGGTATCTAGGTTGCTCTCAAAAGGAAAAGGAGGTTAGGTGGTGTCAATAAGCATGAGGTTCCCTGTTGCCATCAGTTTGCCCTAGAATGTCGAGGTGCATTCATGTGTGGTAGAACAGCAGTCTCATCCTTTGGAAAGTGTTTTTTTATTCATTTGTATGTGTACTATTCACCCATAATCTACTTAAACAAGCAATGCTTTTTCGATGCTGCTTCTTCCATCCCTATTGTTACATGGACTCTCTTTCCTAGGAGTCGTACTTTATGTACATAGCCATTGCTGGCCAAATCCTGTATGTATCATTGGTTCTTTGTCTTGTTCGCCGCACTGCCCCATTTGGGCAGAACGTTACTCTGCGCGCCCAGCTGCACCAAGCACCAGAGGTAGCAGATACCGAAACCGACTGCTCCGATGCCAACGTTGGCAACAACCCAGAGGTCAGGCTTGTCTACAGGTGGGACAACAGCCCTCTCAGCCACGTGCCAGGCAGCCATGGCGACGTAGAATGCGCCGTGAAGGAGAAATGTTGCCCATTGTCGCAACCTACCCTGGTCCTCCTGGAAGTATGCGCTGAGTGATGTGGGCGGGAGGCCAAGAAGATAGGCCCAGAGCAGAGTCAGGACAGCGTAAGGGACGCCAAGGTCCACCCGCTTGAGGAGGGGGAACATTGTCCATGAGCCTAGAATGTTGGCAAATCCAACCCAAGCTCTGACATCCCGCGACAGTCCCTGTTTGCCGGCGAGAAGAAGCGTCATAGGCATAAGAGGAAGGAGGACGCTCTTCTCATGAACCTGATAGCTGAAGAGAAAGAAACCCCATGCTGTTGTCGCAAAAGCGAGAGGCAAGAGTGACTTACGCGGCCGGAAGAAGAGGATGAGATTGGGCGGGACGATGGACGCCAGTGTAGTCAGAAGGGCGCCGCGTTGAAGGAGATCGGCGGGATATTTGCGCAACTTAATGACGACATTGAGGGCGCACCAGAAATTCGCGACCTTATCTTCGAAGAGGCCACGGGCAAAGGGGAAGATGCGATGAACCATCTGTACGAGTTGCTCGACAACCGGATAGTAGATGGCATTGGTGTCGAGGACATCGGTCAGCCAGGGGAACAGGGGCAATGCTGGCGGCGGCCCCTCATAGTCGGGTCGTGCGTCGATGCCCCGGTGAGCGTCGTAAAGGGTGCCCAATACAAGCGGTAGTAGCAGGAGGGCAAAGGCTGCAACGGTGGCTAGCGCGATGCCGATGAAGCGACCAGGTTTCAAAGGAAAGACACAGCTGCCCAAGAGGAAAGAAAAGACCGAGAATGCGTAGTAAAGGGCCATCTGCTTGAAGCCGAGAGCGGCGACGAAGAAAACCGCAGACCAGAGGTAGCGGCCAGCCAGCATGCTGGACATGCTTGCTAGGACGAAGCCAAGCATGACAGTATTGTATTGGAAGTGCACATGGTCGATAAGGATCGTGGCAGGCTGCATCAAGATAGCGACGAGGGCCATCCAAGCAGTCCATGTCGGCACATTGCTGTTTCTGGCGAAGCGTCGAACGAAGATGACAGCCGCGGGGATGTAGATGAGGTATTCGGAGACGATGACTGTGGCGCGCATGAAGATCTTGAGGGTCGGGTCGTCAGATCCTCGCGAGGTGTACAACTCAAACCAGGTCGGGTCGATGAGGTTCCCGATCTTGCCACAGAGCCAGCTATGATAGGCCGTCAAGGGCGGGTAGTCGAGCCCCCACCATTGAAGGTCGTGGAAATACCACTGCGACACGGGAATCTGGGTTGTAATCTCCATCCAATGTCGCTGCGCCTCGTAGTCTCCGAACATGGGGGGTCTCTGGAAGCCTGCGAAGGGGACAGGTCAGTCAGTGTTTCTCCAGCTCAAGCAGATGGATGTGGCATTTACCAGAGTATCCCCAGAGCCCAGCTGCCCATCTAAACAAACCAACCACCATAAGGATCAAGGGCAGAACCTGCCATTGTGATACGGAACCTCGGGCAGGCCAAAGGAACGAAGCGAGAGGGAAGACGGGCACCTTTACGAGAGCTTCCTTTTTGAGGACTTGGCTCTCCGTGCTGGCGTTGATAACCGTGCCAGCGCCATCATCTCCGTTGCTGCTCGTCTTCCTGCCCCTGCGCCGGGGCTTGTGAGGGGAGGGACCGGTCATTTTCCTCTCACTCTCTCTATCGCAACTCAGTCGGTGATTGATCGGTTCAAGATGTGCGGCATGAGGTCCCAAGAAGTATCTGTCGGGTCGCTGGGAGAGGGTGGGTAGGCAAGCGTTGTCGAGCTCCTGGGGCAGCGGGAGAGTCGCAATTGAAATTCAAGGGTCCACGTCGCATCAACGAACAGCTTGTGCGGTGCGTTAAACTGCTAGGTACCTAGGTAGGTACTCCGTACCTTGTATTGTACCTAATTGAAGGTCTCCACATCCCTGGGCTGAGGCAGGCTCGGATCGCCAGGTACCTACCTGCTACTAGTTGTTCACCTTCCTTGCATTGTCTCTCTTTCCACATCAAGCAACTGCGCAATGAGCCCGGATGTGATCTTGTACGTCTTGAATTATATTGTGTCATGACATATACCTCGCATCACCCAATTCATGTTGAAAGCTGATTTCCTAGTCTTTGTGAGACCTGCTCACGCCTGCAAGTGATTGACTCCTTTTATCACCATCCAAGCATTGCAGAGCAACTAAAGGGCTTTTCCCCCCCTCTCTCTTTAACAGTGGCTTGAAGCTATGGATCTAGCTTGAGCTCATTGAGGTTCCCAAAGGCATCGAAGATGGGGCTCAGCTTACTCCTTGCTCCAGGACATTGGGAATGCTGCCTTCGAAACACGTGACCGAGTCTGGGGTCGAAAGCCTAGCCTCAATTGGCTAATCCGGGACAGCTAACGTCACAAGGTGGTGTACATTCTCGCTGGCAACTTTCCATGTTAGTGGACGGATGATCGTCGAATCTAATGTCAACCAGACCTCTCTCTCGCCAGACTTGCCTTCTTCTCATCGATCGGTGATCAGCCCACTCAACTATGCCTTTCCCCTTCATTCTCCCGACAACCTCGGCCTTCTCATTCTCATCTAGTTTCAGCAGCGATACTCACCCCTCCCTGCCCCTCAGTTCCAGCACGTATCGCGGAGTTGTGAGAGATGCCCTCAAGAAGCACAAGCGATTACCGCCAGCATCACAATCGTCTCACGTCTCGACAGTCGTCGGTGCTCTGAACGGTTACATTCCTTATATCCTTGCCATTGACGCTGGTCTGAACCCAGCAACTCAGTCTGGCGACTACATCAACCTCAACACTAAGGCGCCGCCATCCATCGAATGGCGACCCACACTCTCAGATAACGCAGTGCCAGGAAGAGAGCAGTCCCGGGTGAAGATCCAGCATGTGGAGCACGAAATCTTTTTCACGCTTTCCACGCTGGCTAATTCGTATACATTGATCGCCCGGGCTGCTCTCCACCCATTGTATGTCGCAACACAGGCTGCCTTGGACAACCAACAACGCACAGCAGCCATCCAAACCGCAACCAAATACCTCCTAGACGCCGCATCAATATATGACTACATAGCCTCTCGGGCGGAGAGGGCCCAGGTAGAGCCACCCTGCAGCGATGTCTCACCCTCGACCCTCCGAGCCATGTCATCTCTGGCTCTCGCCGAGGCAACCATGCTTGCGGTGTTGAAGGACGACCCCTACCCAGCCATAATCGCCCAGGACCGCAACAAGAATGACCGCGAATGGATGTACAAGGCCCCCGAGATCCCCAAGGTTCGCGCTCACTTGTTCGCGCGCCTCTGCCTCGCCGCTGCCGAGCACGCCAGCCAGGCCTCCTCTCTGTGCCAAGCCGCAGGGCGCGGCTCTAGCAAAGTCAACGAAGGCATACTCCGGTATCTCGAGGATCTTCGGAGGACGTGCCGCGCAAAGGCGTGCCGCTTTTTCGGTATTGACGCCGAGATTGGTGGCCAAGTAGGCACAGCGATTGCCTGGCTTCAGGCGGGGCTACAGGAACTGGGTGTTGAGTCCAAGTACTCGAACAAAAGCTCCGGATTCGGCCGTTTCAAGAAGGAGTGGAGCGAGAAGCGGGAGGAACGGAAGGTCGAGAAGGGAACGACATGGGGAGCGGACGGCGGCAAGGGCGAGGAGACGCGCGTGATCGAGTTCCTCGAAGGGAAATGGCACAAACTTAATGACACGGTAAGTTGCCTCTCTGAGCTCACGATTAGCTCTAGGGAGACCTCACTAACCCTCTTTTCCAAGATGAACGTTCAGACTATACCTCCGATTGGCCCGTTATTGGCACAGATGCCATCCGGCCGAGCAATGCATACTCTCAAGCCGTACCAGCCACCGATACTGGATCGCAGCATACTGGAAGCCATGCGGGCACCGCCTGAGAGAAGTGACGACTATGGGGATTCCCTGAGCTCGGAAGATGAGGCGAAGGGTCACTCCGGACCACCGGGTGGCTATCCTGAGTCGAGACCGGAGTACAGGAGTGGGAGCACCTCATATTACTAGAGGTCGCAGTGGGCATCTGTACGCTTGTTTTTGAGACCGTTAGAAAGGGCACCTGTGCCGGGACAACATCATGAAGGTTTTTCTGAAAATGCTACTGCGTACGCTTTTGGGCTAACAGAGCTTCTCTCCGCCTTGGAATGTAAATTCCGTTAAGAGCACTGCTGACCATCATCTGATGTGGCCTATCCGCTCATGAACGAACGCTTCTCCAGCTTGGCACTGAGGGGACTGAATTTATGACAACCATCTACTGCCGGCGTCAGATGTAACCCACGATCCAGCCCCTCAACAGTCCAGAGCGAAGAGGTGTCCCGAAATCGTTGCGACCTGCCACGAATGACATGACCGTTGCGATACCGGAGCGGCCCGTGTCGTGCTCAATCCGAGCATCTGGGCAGGTGGAAGTGAGGGGAACGCTGCAGCCCGGAGCTTGGACCGCTTACTCGTAGACAGAGGTAGGTTGCTGAAATACTTTGCGACGCCACCAACCTTAAGCTTCAGACGACGCTGAGGTCCAGAGTATAAAACATATATGCTCCTGGCTGTGCCGATCTCATTCAACTTCGGATCCCTCACCCCTCCTTCAAAGCCTACTCCAGCGGTGGTCGGGCATCGATACAACAGCGTGAGGAGAAGGGATAATCTCCCTGTTAAACCCCGCGTTGAGACGCGCCTTGCCAGCCCTACCCTTATCGCCAGCTACCGGATAGGCATTGCTCTTCTCGGGATTTCTTGCCTCATACGACACTACACAATACCCATTTCTCCCTTTTCTGGCATCGTAAAGGTGTACCTGATGCGGAGGCATACGATCGCCCAACCCGCCGGGGAAGACTATTCCCACCGACGAAGGGTGTCTTTCTCGCCAACCATGAACAGCGCCGCAACGTCCCCTTTCGTCGGCACATCCATCGCGACAACCAGCAACTCCTCTTCCGACTCGACTACGAGAAGTAACACCAATAGTCTTGTCATTCATGGCCCGCCTCCTGTGTCGCCCTCCTTTCAGCCTCCCTTCAAGCTTACAGACGTAGACCTGCTTCGCCGCGATTGCCACGTCCACGGCGAGTGGGTTGCTTTTCAAAATAACAAGCGTTATGCCATCCTCGACCCGGGTACCGGCCGCGTGTGGGCGACCTGTCCGGACAGTACCAAAGACGATGTTCATTCCGTCATCAAATCATCCTTCTCCGCCTTTCAGAGCTTTTCAAGAACGACTCCGGCTCGGGAACGCGCGCGTCTGCTGACCTCCTGGAATCACCTTATCCTTGCCAGCCGTATGGACTTAGCCACCATTCTCGTACACGAGACAGGAAAGCCGTTGCATGAGGCACTCGCTGAGGTTGACTATGGGGCCAGTTTGGTCCGCTGGTTCGCTAGCGAAGCCGAGCGTCTGGACCCGGTTCCTCAGTTGCCATCGCCGGCCCCGTCGCCGACCACGTCGCCAGTACCCTCCCCTCCGCCCGACGACAGCGCCGCTCCAGCCATCTCCGCGCGTGGCACCAGCGCATTTCCGAGAAGACGAGGCGCAATACTCAAGCAACCGATCGGTATCGTCCTTGCCCTGGTTCCATGGAGCTTTCCCCTCGCACTTACCCTCCGGAAATCGGCAGCGGCGATGGCTGCCGGTTGCACCATCATCGTTAAGCCGTCATCCGAAACCCCTCTTTCGGCGCTCGCTCTTGCCTGCCTGGCCGACCGTGCGGGGTTTCCGGCCGGCGTGCTCAACGTCCTGACGACAAGCCTGGGGAACACACCGGCCGTGGCCGAGGCGTTGTGTATGCACCCCCTCGTCAAGGCCGTCAGCTTCACAGGAAGTACTCGGATAGGGAAGCGAGTCGCGGTATCTTGCACCCGAAATCTAAAACGACTGTCCTTGGATTTGGGTGGAAATTGTCCATTCATTGTATTCGACGACGCGGACCTTGAGCAGACGGCCAGGGACCTTGTGGCCCTCAAGTGGCGGCATGCGGGACAGGTCTGCGTGGCGCCGAACCGGTGTTATGTGCATCGGCGCGTATACGAATCGTTTTCGAGCTTGCTGATAGCTGAGGCCGCAAAACTGAAGCTCGGTCACGGTATGGCCAGGGGGACTACTCTTGGGCCACTGACGACTATTCGGGGACTATACAAGGCGGAGGCGATGTGTAAGGATGCCATCGACAAAGGTGCCACTATGCTGTTTGGTACGGGAAGACGAGAGCCTGGGGATGGTTACTTCATGGCGCCGACTGTGTTGGGGAGCATGATGGATGAGATGCTGATGTGTCGGGAAGAGGTATTCGCGCCGATCCTAGGGCTATATGTGTTCGATACCGAGGACGAGGTAACAAGCTGGGCGAACGATACACCAGTCCAATTAGCTAGTTACGTTTTTACCAAGAACCCCGACAGACTCTGGAGGATGTTTGAGCGACTGGATGCTGCAGTACTTGGCATGGTAAGTCTGCTAGACCCTCTATCCTCACCGCGCGCGCTCGGCAGAAGCGGACGACTGACCGTCGTACAGAATACGGTTAACTTGGTCTCGGAAGTGCGCGTCCCAACTGGAAGCAATGGTAATGGGTACACGCCGACGCAATCCACGGCCCTAGACGAATTCTTAATTACAAAGGCAGCCGCAATGTTACCCTCGTAAACGATTTGTAGGAATAGGTGTAGGATAAGAGCCTTGTTATTACCCCAATCTAACTACGATATACCGATAATTCCAGTGGTGTCATGGAGTTGATCAGTTCTGTAGCGTAACATTATAGAAAGTCCTGATATTCCTAGTACTACGGCTGACCGTGTGCAACAATATTATCAATACGTATCTCCTCAAAAAGAAATACATTTATTATCTCTGCCATCTTTTGCGTTCAAACCACAGCTCCCGGTAAGTGGCTTTCTCTGCCCACGTCCTGTGCTCTGCGTTGTTCACCCCAATATGTTGTAGGCTGAAGCACAAAGGAAAGGGCAAAGGCTGGTCCTACCGCCCGAGGCCAGAACTGGGCATTGATAATCTTAACTGGTGTCTATACGTTCGGCTCCCTCTTGCGTAGAGTAGTCTCTCATCAGTTGTTGACTGTCGTGTTCGCATGAAAGCCTCAGAGCTCTCTGACTTGAGCGGTATCCAGTTTGCCACATGCCGGGCCCAAAGAAATACTTAATGTTTCCAACGCCGACGAGCACGCATGTTTATTTTTGCCGAGTTGCCCCATGCATTCAAAAACCAACATGCCTGAGCATATGGCTGACAAGCGACTCTGTCATCTCTTCCGATGTCGCTGGCGTATTTGTATCACAGTCCAAGTCATGCGCGATTTTAGTTGGTCTACCAGAGACCCAAAGTACGTGATAGTATTGAAGAAGAAGGTGATGGAGGGGGGATAGGATACTTTTTACCCTCAAGACGCCACAGGATGACGCATTTCTTCGGCCGCGCAAATCATTCCACGGAGCGCAACCTAACCACTGAAGCTAGGTTCAACTGATATTTTCTGCATTCGATATTCGGCACATCAACGCCATACCTCGCTACTATGACCGGTAAACGTGCGACTGAAACAAACGGTGTTTCCTGTATTATTTGGGAATTTCAAGGATAGATGTCAACGTTATGTCTGATATCTAGAGAAAACCTCGCCGATAGACATGGTACAAAGCTGGACTTGATGAAGGTTGGCAGGGTTGGATAGGAGAGTTCATATCTTCTGATAGAGTTGCCACAGCTTCACTGTTTGTTTAATTTGAGTGATACTTCGAGAACTAGCGCGACGCGTTTATTTTTGGAGTGTATGCAACGGTATCCTCTGCGACAGTTTGACAAATCCAAGATCACGGTCGAACTTCAACATAATGAGGCACCGAGAGGAAATTAACGTTGAAACATACGGGGCATATACTAGTTAGTGTCCCTGTGACTTACGTATGATTGACTCGATCTGTGTCGTTGTGAGCTGTTTTTGAAGATAGCATGTTCAAAACGCATCCCGAGATCAAATCCACTGTGCAATGATTGCAAATATTGACAAGAACACATAAATTACCAAGGCGTCGCGCGTTGATACAGAAATATTGATCGACTCCGGGGTAATTGTGGGCGGAGTCAAGACAGCCCAGCATACATGTGAAGCTATACTTGTTGATGTGGGCCCCATACTTAGTACATATGTATCCATACATGCATATCTCACTCTGAGCTGCCTTCTTATAAGTCAACCGGAGGGAGATCCCCTCAAGGAGAGTTCTTCACTTCTTCATAGATGAATTCATATGTTCAGGTGCGATTGATGCCAAAGGATGACCTCAAGGGAAGACCCATCTATGTACCCCGTGAAGACTCGAGGTTGGCTTTACACCTGCTCACCGTGTCTTCTTCAGTTGAAAAGAAGTCGCCTTCCAGGTTTCGCTTCGTCCCACGTGTCCATTGTCAGACTAAGATCATCTGCCCGTCGTTACCTCTGATACCCAGGGCGGCCATGGTACAGCAGCTAGGTTAGCACATGCGAATTGCCGTTCCGGGTTGATGGGTAATGAAGCCGATGCGCAGAGACAGATGTCGCGGTCTATGAACGCCAAGGTCACATATGATATTTCTGTATCAATTTGAAGAGATCAAAACCTCTTTTGCCAAACCACCCTAACTCCTCTTTTGATGCACAGTGCGTAGGAAATGTCAACACGTAAAGACTACATACACACCACCACTCGACTCCTTATCCTCAGGATCTAGAGGTCCTTCGAGCGCATCTTCTTGAGACGCATGCCACCCTCGAAGACGCCACGGTCGACGGCGGCGGCGACAGTAAGAGTACCGCCGATGATGGCGCACAGACCAGTGAGGAAACCAGTAAAGGTCTTGGCGCGCTCTTCTCGGTTGATAACCTTCATAGGTGAGATATCCTGAGAACTCCCATTAGTGACGAGGCCGAAAATGAGGGGCTAGGAGAACCTACGTAGGAGAAGAAAACTCCCGGAATACCGCCACGAGAGTGAAGGCGCTCCTGGTGTCCTTCGGCGGCGTCGTCACCGCCAGCCAAGCTACGCTTGTGGCTCGTCACAGAGTACTGATGAGTCTCGACGCTGCCATCGTTGCCCTGGCCGAGAAGACCAAGACTGGAACTGTCGTCGTCCTGGTAGGCGGTCGACTTCTGCCAGTTGAGGGCGAGATATGAGGTGGGCACGATCTTGACAAAGTACATGAAGTTGTAGTTGGGGTCGTTTGTGTCTTGGTGAGTGTTGTCGAGGGGGTTGCCGTGGTGGTTCGTCCAGGCGTATGCACGCTTGCCCATCTTCTTGGTGACCTGATCAGGCAGCTGGGGACCGAAGCGCAGGGAATGAATAGTGTGAGTGAAGTCATGCTGGGCGTCGGCGGGGGTGTCCCAGTAGTTTTTGAGGTCGTGGACGTGCATGTTTCCGTTGCTGAAGCTGCGGCCAGGGGCAAGGTGGAAGTTTCCAACAACCCTGTTAACACGCAGATTGCCCTCGATGCGGCATCCCTCCTGACGTTGCTCCTCCAATCGCTCGGCGTAATGTTCGCGGGTACACTGCTCGACGCCCTCGCCCTTGCCAAAAGCCCACGAAGCCTGCGCGTATGCCTCTCTTACTTCATCGCAAGTGTTGCAGCAGCCAGGCTTCTGCGCGTTCGGGGGGGCCTGGGCGCCGTAGCAGGGTCCGCAGTAGTTGGGGTCCAGGTGCTCAGCAGAGTCGTCGCGGGAGTGACTTTGAGAAGTTATCAGTAAAGGTATTGGCAGTATGATGGGAGACAGATGCTTCTTACAGATCCAGGGCCTTGATGTCGATAACGCCGCCTCCCTCCTTCCGGGGGCGAAGGCGAACCTTGTTGACGCCGTGCATGACACCGTGCTGCTGCTCGCCGGAGACGTCCATGACGTCCAGGGTGAGGAGCTCGCAAGGCATCTTGGGGAAGGTCATGTTGAGGTGGATCTCCATACGTTCGCCTGTGCCAAAGGCGCATTAGCTCTCGATGTCCTACCGGACTTGGAGGTCGTTCAATGAAGGCTCATACCTCTTCCCTTGTCCACAATCAACTCAGAGTGGATCTCTATCCTCCTGTAGTCAGCCCATTCTCCCCAGGCCAGCCAGAATACAACGATCAACGACACGATGGTGACAATTCCACCGGAAGTTGTGCGAATGCGCGCCTCATCGACCGTCTTCGTGAAGGCGTCGAGCCTTGTAAACCTTGACTTTGCCGGCATGGTAATGTTCGAGAACCAGGAGAAGAGTTGTTGAGAGGGCTGGCTGTCTGTCACAAGTTGAAGCAGCCTCGCGTGCCCGTTTCCCTTGTTTAATGGGGGGAGGGAATCAAGCCAAGTTTCGTACTTTCGCGGCAATGCGCCAAGAACAAAAGAGCAAAGAAAAAGAGTGGCGGGAGGGGGAAGAAGATGATTTCAGGAAGTGATCAACCCCACCTGAGTCATGAGAAGTAAAGTCAACGCTTCAAGAAGTTCTCGAGGTCGGAAATCACGAAGAAAAAGAGAGTGGTCTCACAAAGTCTTGGGAGTTGAACAGCCAACAGTAGAGGCCACCTTCACTTATCTTCTGGCCACGCAGCCCGTCCAGTTCCCCGTTGCGCTAAAGGTGAACCTTCCTCAGGGGTCCCGCATGGTGCAGTGTGTGGGTCCCTCTTCATGGGTAATTGTCGGCCGTCGGCCAATGGAACACTATCGTCCTTCTCTCAAAGAATCCAGAAACAGGATGGCCCGTGCTCAAGCTGCGATTCCCCACTGTAAAATCCCAGCCTGGCAACCAAGGCTGAATGAAGTGCCGTGCGTTTGATCGAGAAGTCAACTTCAACCACCAAATTATCAACATCGCGCCGTTTGTTCAACAGCCGAGATCTGCATTCAGCACGTTATACTAAGAACCAACCAACGAGAAACAGAAGCTGCGGGATATTTTTCAAGCCAAAGCCGAAAATACATCGTCAAACATCCAACTGAACGTTTTCCTTTTGAGGGATTCTTCTTCCGACGCATCGCCAAGATGTCGAAACCACCCTCTCGAGTCGTTTTTGTAGGAAACATCCCATATGGTAAGTGCCAATTGTATTCGAAGAGAACGAATAAATATATTTAGTGTTTTCCCAGGCCTTTCCGAGGAACAGATCAGCGACATCTTCAGCAGCGCAGGCAAAGTCCTTAACTTCCGCCTCGTCTATGACCGTGAGACTGGACGGCCAAAGGGTTTCGGCTTCGCGGAGTATCCCGACAACGGTAAATACCACCACGAGTTCTCGGAAAAGTACAGCAGGCTAATATACTGATACAGATTCTGCGGCATCCGCGGTCCGCAACCTTAACGATTACGAGATTATGGGTCGGAAACTGAGGGTCGATTTCTCCAACGAAGGAGGCAGCGACGGCAACGATGACAGTCATGGACATGTGAGTTTAGGAGTATAGCTCGGCTTTCAGATTCAATCCGCTGTTGAAGCTAACATCTTGATAAATAGCAGGGCCGAGATGGTGGTAACCCCTCTTACGCCTCGAACGGCTATAACCCGGCCGCGCCTCCGGTGCAGTCGAGCACGCTCCCTCCTTTACCAGCCGGCAAGGAGCTCCCCCCCAACGTGACTGCAACCGACGCCATTTCCCGCACGCTGAACACGCTGCCCCCCTCACAGCTCCTGGACATCCTCACGCAAATGAAAGCGCTCGCCTCCTCTGATCCCGCCCGAGCGACGGAGCTCCTTCAGCAGGCGCCGCAGCTGACCTACGCCGTTTTCCAGGCCCTTCTGCTGATGGGCCTTGTGTCTCCGGAAGCAATCCACTCCGTCATCGAAGCTGGCGGCGCGCCCTCCGCGACCCCGGCCCAGACCGCACCAGTCGGCTACCCGCCTCAGCCTCCCGCGCCAGGTTTCCCCCCAGTGGTTGTGCCCGGTGCCACCAACACCCCGCCTGTCGTGGGCACGCCGTACGCGCCGCCCCCCCAACAGGCTCCTTACGGCGCGCCACCCCCGCCACCCGCGGCGGCCCTGGGCCAGGACCCCGATGCGCTCATGCGGCAGGTTATGGAGCTGCCGCTGGAGACGATCAACATGCTGCCCGAGGCTGAAAGACAACAGATCCTGGCGCTCCGGGCAACTTTTGGAGGCCAGAGACGATGAGTGCCGAATCTTCTTCCTCGCGCATGCGCAAGCTCAGCCGATCGGGTTGTGAAGCAAATGTGGCCTGGAACCATCCAAGCTGGTTTATTTTTGGATGGAAATGCCACCGCACGCCCACTTCAATGAGGAAGAGGCGGTGTTCCGAGCCGGCTTAGCTTTACACCGAAGATCGGGATCACTGGGTCAGCGACCACGCACGATGGAGCTTCCCGTAACGAACTCTTACCTTGCAGACGAAGCGGCTTTGGGGACAAAAGGCGGCCTATACGAAGCTATTCTTGGTGAAGGAAAGAAATAGGCTAAGATATCCTGGAGGGGCAACCATAGGGACCTAGCGAGCAACAGGGTCGTTGTACTCCTCCTCAGCTTTAAGTTGTTGGCCCTCCAACCACTTCTTAACTCGGCCCACCTCGCCACCAACGATGGCGAAAACTTGACCGAGAACCTGGCATCTAGGCCTCGGTAGGTAAAGAAAATGGAAGGACCTTCCCGGGCGTGTGGGGAGGCCAGAAAGGTGACGTTAGGTTGATGATGGCGCGTGTACATGTACTGCGCCTCAGAAAACCGGAGGGTCCTGGGAATGGCGGGGCCGAAGGGAATGTGTGTTGGTGGTCGTAAGGGTATGCATACAGATACGAGGCAGGTCACGAGGACAACCCGCCTTGTCTAAATATACCAATCTCCCAATGAAGAACCTTTTGGTGGGCTTGTCCATCTGACCAAGACCCGATGCTCCTGTGCGGTCGTTGTCGGAGTTGACGTTGGTTCCATATTGTTGGCGGCCAGCTGCGTTCGAGTGGTATTTTCTTTGCGGGAGGGGATATGGGCGGGGTTATCTGCGGCTGCGGCTGCGCCTGCGGTTGATTGACTCCATGTGACGTTGACAAACGATGGATTTGGCGCGGCGGGTAATCGAAAGGAATACGGAGTACTTCGCATCCCAACAACGGCGCACGCGCCCGTCCAAAACGGGCGGCAGACGAAGACGGGGCGAGAGAACATGGGCGATGCTGGACCGGGTTGCGACGTATCCGACACTGGTGAGCAACTCTAAATCACCCTACCTTACAGGGCGACTGGATGACTAGGTAGGGGGAGGTTGGTTCCGTGAGGATGCCTCTGGTGGGTACACAACATTGGGGCTGTGAAGACCTTTGCGTGCAAACCAGCGTGGCCGCTGGGCAGATCGGATCGGCCCTGGACCGAGTTCATGCCTTGCGACTGTCGTCAAGGAAGTCTGTATATGATATAGAGCTCGGGTGAGTGAAGACTTGCAGCGATTGTGTGGTTTAGATTGTGTACCTAGGCAGCTTAACACGCTACCCATTTACGATGTAAGTTTAGTTACGCGAGCAGGCTGCATCACCATCCAGTCGCCGCTACGCTGTAACAGTATTGCAGACAGAAAGATGGGCAATAAGTTGAGGACATACCGGCGTTGCGGGAGAGATGGGAAGTTCTAACCGGGCGCTTGGTTGGGGTCGGTTGGACCCGATGGCAAGAAACACACATGAGATGGGATGACATGTGTGGACTACGAATACAGCAGTCTCTGTTCCGCGCCCGGTCCAGGCAGACAAAATGCTCTCTCATCGACCGTTACTTCAACGCGATTCGCGTGTCTGACGGCGTATCTGTAGTATACGACTCCCCACCTGTTTTACTGGGCGGATTCAATCAATGTGGTGTGTATACTCTGTGGGCGATCCACCCGTGCGCCAGTGTCTGCGCGAAACAGCTACATGTCTCACAGACGCTAGAAGCCCCAACGGGAGCGGAATTGAGGTCCTGGATTCGCACTTGCATGGAGAGGCATGGAGGGCGAAGGAGGCCGACAGAGCAGAGGATGAGAGACGGGAGGGGAAAATTGGGAGGCCCGAGAGCGTCATCTGCACTGCGGGAAGATGATTGTTTTGCAAGAGCTACCTCGATTCTTCTTATGCAGAGGCCGAAGCAGCAGTAAAGCCGGGGCCGCTGAGATGGGTTCATCTGAGGACGCCTCGGATCCAACGAATGAGTGAACGGTATACCTACGTGTAGAAGGTCTCGGGGGGATCGCGGTAGCGGGCTGAAACAAGTTATCAGTTGATACGAAACTTGACTGGAGGTGCAAGAATCCGAAATTAAGAGATGAAGGGGAGGAGAAGGGCCGTCGAGAGGTTATGCAGGTCCGCGAGTTCCCTGCAGCTCTCTAAAAGTTGACATGTGAATGGCCAATGAATGGGTGGTGGTGCAGTGTGTTCGCATACGATTCATAGTGGATGTGCGCGGGGAGCAGGTCCGGCTCTCGTTGGGCCTCCAGGATCGACGCAGGAGCGAGCCGCCATGTAATTTCCGCAGGCAAATGAAGATTGAATATTGTAATTTTCCCTGCCTTGGATATTCGGCGTATGCAGGTCATCTGTTTGCTAAGAAAATTTCTCTCGAGGGGTTCCGCCTTGCATCTTTGTTCATGCTTCCCCAGAGAAACAAAAGGAGGGTCCGCACATATTGCCATTGCTGCACTACTGCACGCGCAACGTCGTACCGAGGAAGAAGGTTGCAACGGAGCATGGCTATGGTGATCCCCATTGGAGCGGCGGGTGACACCTAAAAGGACAGAAAGGGCGGGACGCAATTCGAAAAAGGATTCGCCATGATATTGAACCTGCCAGGTGACGAGCTGGATCAATGGAACGCGGGGATGACTTCCCAATCCAGGGACATGATGCTGCAAAAGGGCGGGAAGCGAAATAATTAGAGGCCGCTCGGGGTGGAGGACGACGGGTAATGGGACATTGCCATGTGGGAGAAATAGACGGCGCTTACTACAGGCTGGTAGCGAGAATGAGATGGGCGAGGGATGACTGTGCGAAAAAGAAGTTATTATCATGCCATTGTTTGTTGCTTGTGAGGCTATCGTCAATCGTCAATCGGGGATTCGCAGCGTAAAGCACCACGTCTTTTTCTTTTCACTGTCATGTGGCACCCTCTCGTTTTCTTTGTCTTGGCGTCGTGACGTTCCACTGTTGACGGGGCAGTCAAGGCGCAATGGGCAAGCCCGGGGCCCAAAGCCGAGAACCCAAGGTGTGTCTCATGTAATGCAGTGGTTCTGCCGTCAACACGTGATTCGAATTGGACGGGTCTGATGATCAAGACGACACATTGCTATGTTTCGTTGCTTGAAGAGCTTGAAGAGAGCTCCGCACCAGCTCCGTAATTCTGGAGTCAACACGGATCCGCATCGCAAATGGTCAGTCGAACAGGGAGTGGGACCTGGTGTCTTGCTTTGCATAGCCGGGGTTTGGACAGCAACAATGGTGCAAGTCATGTGCATAATTGTGGCTGTTTTGGTGGAAAGATTTGGGAGGTGCAGGTCGGTGGACCGATGGAACGGGCAAAATAGAATGACGAAGTTGAGAAAAGAAGCCTGCGCGGACAGGCAGAGTCCAGCCAATAACAGCAGCAAGTGTGTTGATTACTCACTCGATTGTCCGTACAGATTTCTAGTGCAGCGCGTGCCAGCCCGTGTTCTCGCCCGTGCTGTGTAAGTGCCGCTTCGTTGTTGCTAAAGTTAGGACTTTTGGCCATCCGCTAGCGTAAGGAGAATGACGAGAGACGCAAATCTGGGGCAGAGAGTCCTTAGTAAGTCACCGTCATGTTGTAGTACACTAATAACGAGAAGCAACATTATATGCTGAGACGGGCAGTGATGAGCAACACCTGAATCCTGGGGATCGCTGTGTTTCATAGCACACACATCGTTGAGGTGACATGCTTTCAAGTGAAGGAGGTGTGTGTTCCTGAGGGAGGAGGGCTTCTGCTTCCATACCAGACTGACTGACTGACTGACTGACTGCTGCCAAGTCGAAGAGGTCGCCGCCTGCGCCGTCATGCAAGTCGAAGCAAGGCCACCTGACATGCTCGGCGATGATGAATGCCTAGCGCATCTTTACATCATGACGCTGAGCGCAAGGCGACGCGGGCTGTCGATGAAGTGAAGCACGGATTGCGATCCTCTCGTACCAGACGTCTTCTACTCTGACCTGAAGTTGGCCGTCCGTGGGCCATGACTACAATCACCGGAATCATCGATGCGTGCCGAATCGTGTCAAAGGCCAAGCCGAGCGCCGTACGACCGAACAGTCGCAGGTCATTGGATGTGCCCCGACGAACTCGCCTGATCGCCACACCGGCCCAGTTCCTTAGGCTACATACTCAATCGGCATGGCTCAACGTAGCCATCGACGGTCTAGCCTCTGTCCCACAGTAGACGTAGATGTATGCAAAAACGGACTGTGGCAGCGCTATCATTTGCCACGGACGACGCCGCATAAGCATTGACCGAACAAGGTGACAGTGGCAGAGAAGAACTGGAGACGTGCTGTTTCCGGCTCAAGCGCAAGGACGCTGGATCGCAAGGTCACAGGGCTTAGGAGGTCGAAGGGGGCGTCACAGGTGGGATGTGCCGACAAGGATGAGGGGAGAAGGGGGTTTCGACAGGGGAAGATGAAGAAGAGGAGGAGGAGACGGACGAGAAGGGTAGGGGAGGGGAGGGGAGGGAGGGAAAGAAAAGAAGAGACGAAGAAATAAAATAACATAAAAATGAAGAAGGGAAATTTGGAGCTTAAAGTTAGTATATCGATGACATTACTGTGCGTGTACCTATGGCTCAACCTGCCAATACTACTACCTACGGCCTGCTAGTACCTCACATGTACCTGCACCCCAGACGACGCTACCTAGGGGGCAAGGCATCAAATACCTACGCAGTAATACTAAGCGCTGTCTCGTATCTGTACAAAGGTTCCACAGGTAGGTAAAAGAGGCCTGGATGATGAGTCTGCACCACCCAACACTAGATTGAGAGACGTAAGTACTATGCAAGTACTTTTGTGTCTTGTGGGCCTCCTCTTGTGATACCTTCTCCTGTTGCTTTCCCCTGCTTTTGTGGCTCGCATGGGATGCCCTGGACGATGTCGTGGCTGCGTTACCAGACCGGAGTGTAAATACATGGTGTTATCCCATGCTCTCCCTGCGAGCTTCGGGTAAGTACCTGCACGTATGTATCTCCGTCTGCTGTACTGTACCTACCTACCTAATGTAGTACCTCGGGTACCTACCTTCTTCCCCTAAGGTAGGTAGGTACATTGCGCTGCTAAAGATGCTCAGGAGGTCATCCCTTTAGCGTTGCAGCTAGTGCTAAGCCCAATTCGGTCTGTTCGCTCCGTCCCCACGATCGATTGGGCCACTCGCTCCCGTCCCTACCTAGGTGGCTGCCTACTTTAGGTGTCTACCGGTTGGCCAGTCTAAGGTATAATGTACCGTTTACTGACAGCTGCATGCAGAGTCCTCTTTCCATCTCACTGTCCGCTGTAGACCTGCAGTGTTCAACTCATGTAGGTACACATCAGTACATGCAACGGCATTCCCAGCACAAGTTCAGGCGTACCGTATTGGCTTCTTTCCCTCCTGCGCTCTGTTCATTCCCGTTCCCTTTCCTTTTTGGTATTTTTATTTTTATTTACTACATAGTATTATTATCTTTTATTCTCGCTTGCTTCACACCACCCACACTCTTACCACCGCTACCGCTGCTACCTATCCCCCGCCAGACGCCCTAGCTCCTGCTTCTCATGACCTTTCCCCTCGTATCCGTCCGATTCTGGGGGAAACAGAGATAGATCGCTTCTTGCTTCCCGCTTCACTTCGCTTCACTCTCATCATATCCTATCCCCTTCCCTTTCTTCTTTCCCCCCCTTTCTCAACTGCCCGTGCCCGTGTCCCATACCTATCTGCCTTTTGCGATAGTTCGGCACGTACGAATACTATTACCAGCCCAACCCAACCTTCGAGAACAAACCGTCCCGCTGCTTGTGTGCTCTTGGCCCGAGACCACACCCACTCACTGGACTTGGCTCGACACGACCTCGGGTTACCTCAGGTCGTTCGTCTCTCGCCTCCTTCAGACACTCTTTTTGTCTTTCGTCTTTCGCCTTCTTTATGGCTGCTGCGCCTTCTTTGCTACCCACCAGACCTAAAACGGACACACCTGCCCTTCGCTAGTGTCTTGCCTGTTTCTAAAGAAAGACCACTCTACGGATACATCCTCATTGCCAATAGCACCGCCCAGAAAATCATCGACGACGACACTCGTTCATCTCCACGTCGAGATTCCACCTCCAATTGTTCCTTCTAACTTTCGACTCCTCAGCCTTAACATACTCGCCGGCCTAGTTTCGATCCTGACTCACTCCTCGTATGTGTGTTTAGTGGCATTCTCGGCAGCCACACCCACCACCTTTACAGAGACCTGTTATTCGACCTGCACATTGCATCCTCCTAGTGTCTGGACTGACGCCATAAACGATCTTTCGGCCAAGACTTGACCTACACCCCCAACATTCCAACCACCAACCACTTTTTTGGGCCCGCCCAATCTCCTGATCGATCAGGTGTCGACTCTCCCAACTTGATTCACGACCAGAACGACATTTGAATCGCGTTGCATGGGAACATAAAGCGAGTCGCGCTCGAGATCCCGACCGACAATGTCGCCGCAGCGCCCCAACTTCATTGACCTTCGCGCGCCTTCGAGCATGTCCAATGTGTCGAGACCTTTGCGATCCCCAAGACTTCACGTCGCCGGCGAGGCGCCCCCTGAACTATCTCCTCTCGATGCGTTCGCCCTACAGAGTCGTCTCCTTGCGAGGCAGCTTCAGGCTGCCGCCAACGGTGAAGGGAAGCGCGTGAGTCGACTGCCGCCTTTGACCACAGAGAGCCCGTTGGTCGTCCAGGGCCGGTCAGATTATTTCCGCTCCATGTACGATTCAGGATCGGAGGATGTCGCTCTCCCTGAACTTCAGAACCCCGGGTATGGATTGAGAACCGAAGTGGAGGACGCCTTTCCGTCCGAGAAGGACCGACCCGTGTCAGTACATCCTCGAATGAGCCGAATCCCGCCCACGCCCGACGAAGGCGTCCCTTTGCCATCACAGCCGCCGTCCGAGACGATGCGTGGACGACCTTTGGATTCAACGGCAGAAGGTCAAAACCACATGTTCTTTGGTGCCAGGAGGGAACAGTCTCCGACACCCTTGGAACATCCCTCTAGCGACTCGCATCTGCAAACTTCGCCCCCTAGAAAAGACCGCTCATTACCTATGCATTCGCCTGCACGATCGCGCGAGAACTCATTGACTGGATCGCCCGGCAAGCCGTCCAATGGGCACTCGTTTGATGGACCAGGACTGGCACCTCCACGGCCCAACTTTAGTGCGCGATCCATGACTTCCATGTCTTCGCCACTCGATAACTCGACAGAGGAGATGAGCAACTCGATTCAGTCCATGCCCGCACGAAAACTATCGAGCTGTAGCGTTTATGCCATGTCGACGACCTCTCCAAATCTCAACCCTGGCCCTTTCCAACGCTCGCCATCCGTCTGCTCCGATGCCTCGTTGCCTCTGCCGCGGCCATCCTTCAATTTCTCAAGACCCATGAGTCGCGCCGGTACTCCTGGGTTAGAAACTCCAACGCGTCAGGCATCATCAGACAGCCAGCCGTCTTTCATTTTTGCGAACGACGATTCGGCCAACACTCCTGTTAGTATGAACAGCGAAGGCTTCCCCGACTACTTGCCGGACGATGGCAAGGCCGCTCCGTCATACATCTACTCCAAATACGCCCTTCCTCGAGGCAAGATTGTTCAAAGATCAGTTCCTCTGGACACCCACCCTCAGGCATCCATCCAGTATGAGCTCCCCATGACGCTTCCGAGCAACGTCCAAGCCATCCAGCATGGAGCGCCCCCTTCACCCCCGACCAGGCCGTCCAGCTCAGGGGAACCTGATGACCTCAGCCTGGCCAAGCCGTCATTTGATTATGGGAAGCAGAGCATGGACCGCGGCGGCCCCGCACCACAGCCGTCCCCAAACCCCAGTCGTCCTTCCACCGAGAGCCGGGGCTCAGAGGAAGACCCAAGGGGTCGTGCTCGCACCTCCCCAGTTTACGAAGCTGCTGCCCGAGGCCAGACTGCCATGTCAACGGCCACCAGCGACTCTAACAGCACTCTCAAGGCGCCGCGCTCTCTGGCTTCGGGCGCCCCAACAACATCTGAGATGACCCCAGAAGAGCACTTGGCCAAAGGCATTGAGTGCCACGAAAACGGCTCGGTAAAGGAGTCGACCTACCACCTGCGACACGCGGCTAAGGGAGGCAACCCTACAGGTATGCTTCTGTATGCTCTGGCATGCAGACATGGGTGGGGCATGCGGCCTAACCAACGAGAGGGTGTCGAGTGGCTGAGAAAGGCCGCTGAATGCGCCAGCCTCGAGATTGCTGATGACGAGGACCATGTCAAGGAAGGCAAGTTTGTCGATGCCATGGAGAGACGAACCCGTAAGGCGCAGTTCGCCCTGAGCATCTATGAACTTGGCGTGAGCCATATGAATGGATGGGGCATTGAGCAGGACAAGGCTCTAGCTTTGCGATGCTTCGAGATTGCCGGATGTAAGTTGCAACCTCATTGTTCCGCCAAAATACGGCACTGACCAGAAGAACAGCTTGGGGTGACGTTGATGCACTGGCCGAGGCTGGGTTTTGCTATGCTCAAGGAGTTGGGTGCAAGAAGAATCTTAAGAAGGCAGCTGGCTTCTACAGACAGGCCGAAGCCAAAGGGATGAACATGGTCGGCAACAGCTGGTATGTATTGCTTCTGGTTTATCAAGGGGGACGCAATATTGATATGTGCCTCACAGGATTCATAAGTCGAAGTACAATGAGGACGACACGACCAACAAGCCTCGCAGCAAGTCTAGAGGAGGACGGACTATGTTCGGTATCAAGACTGGTTAGCGATAAGTCTTTGAAGTTCTTCCTGCTCAAACCGTCTAGCGGCATTTCACGGATCATGACCACTGCATCAGCACATCACCTTCATACCCCTTATCTTCGGAGTTCTGGGAGGCTGGCTCTGAGGAGTGCAGCTTTTGTTTTGTTTTGTTTTTTGGGCATTTAAATCTGATGGCTGGGAATTGTGCCATTTTCTGCATTCAACCAGTGCCATGAAAAGAATGTGGTCAGAGAGGGGCGTGGATGGTTTCAATGCAAGGGATTGAGGCGCCTATGGTTTTGCGTCACAAGGGGGGTCGGAAAGTGATGGGAAAGGGCCCTTTTAGCCTTGATTAAACATACTTGGTTCCTGTTTATACATACCACTTTCGTCACTGGGAGGCAGCGATCCAATCGCTCCTTTCTTAGGGGTTCCTTTTGTCGTATAAGAAATAAAATAGAGAGCTCTGCCCGCCTTCTTAATTACGGGCAGCAGTATCGATGGGCAATGACTTACGAGACCTCTCTCTGCGTTTGCGCCCCTTCACATCGCCCATGTGCTGTTCTTGTTTCTGAAAACGGTCGACTAAATACTGAATCTTACCTGTTTATGGTGACTGTCTTCACTGAGGCTTGATATGGCCGCTGTTATGGGTAGTCATACGTCTGGTTTTGGTGATATCTCGATTGTGAACCTGTGTCTCAATGCACCGAGGGAGGGATAACAGCTTGTATCAATCCCATCTATTGCCATCATTGTATTGGTACAGAATCCTCCCGTTTGGGGATTACTTCATTCGCAACCCGTCGGATGCCCTCGTTTCATGAAGAATAAAAAAGAAAAGCCATCTGCTTAGGTATCAACCTCCATCTCCTCGCCGGCCGGCACCTCTGTTACGCTAACATAGCGGCCAATCTCATTCTTCTTGATGATCTTCTCGTTAAGCACAGCGGTGGTGCCCTTAGGGAAGGCGTAGCTCTTGAGCTTGGCGCTGCGCTCGTTGGGCTTGACAAAGCCGCGTTTAAGTGTAGTCTTGTCCTTTGTGATGATGGCGACATCAACATTGCTTCCGGAGCCGAGGTCGTTAAAGATACCGGCCTGAATGGCCTGGCTGGCGAGCTCGACGGCCTCGTCCTGGGTCAGCGAAGGCTTCCACTTGGTCTCGAAGACGGACATAGCGGCCAGCGAGCCGGATCCCATAGTGACGTAGGGGAGCTTGTCGGTGGAGCCGTGGGCGTGGACGGTGAAGAGGTGGGTGCCTGTAGGGTCGACGCCGGCAACGACTAGATAGGCGCCAATATGACCCTGATACTGGAAGAGGTGCTGCTTGAGCATGGTCATACAGGTGACGACGCGGGGCTTGCGTCCCGTGGAAAGGGAATGGAGCTCGAGGTTGGAGGAGATGATTGCCGTCGTGAACTCTGTATCGGCGGCGGTGCCGGCACCCGCACACCAAATCTGGGGAGCGATGTAGTGCAGCTTTTCGCAGTTCTTGTCGGCAACAATGGGGCCCGAAGTGGCTCTTGTATCGGCGGCGATCTAGGGAGTTATAAGCGTTAGTCACTGTAGTATGGGAGGTGCAGTAGGTTGGAGGGAGGGTGCTCTCGAGGGCGAGGCGGAATGGATAAGGAGCCCCTCGGAAAGCGCTTTAAAATAAGAAGCAGGGAAACAGGAAGACCACTAACCACTACACCGCCGTCAAATATGCATCCTACGATGGTGGTACCTGTGCTCGTCGCCTTGGGGAGCGGAACGCCTCTAGCATGGAGGGCCGCATTGCGGTTGTAGTTGGAGAAGTCGAAGCCAGGCATCGTTGCTGACTTGTCTAGGCACCCCGGGAGGTTTTTTCAGGATATCTACGTCGTCAAATTCGTCGAGGTTTTCGCGTTCATCAGTCGTCGGTGATGTCTGGTTTGAAGGGAATGTCCTTTAGATGTGGGGATCGAGCGAGGTTGAAGGTGGACGTGGGAGCTGATGACGAGGCTAAAAGCTGCCTTCGATGGCCGTTGCCGCTGTTTGGGAGGGGCCAGGAGCTCATGCAAGGCACCCCGACATATCCAACAGAGCTGCCTGGTGGAACTTGATTGGCCAAGAAGCGCCCCCGGATCCAAGCTCACTGCACGTGACTCGGATCTATGGTGGATTGGCAGGCGAACGGACCAAGAGCAGAGAGCTACGAACCTGGAATTTTTAGGTAGACAATTGCCAGACGAGCCCAGGCAAGAGCAGAAGGTGCAACAATCTTTCTTCCAAGGCATATCTCGAGTGGCGCCTTCGCCTTGTTACCAATTGCACTGTGTTTTCACGCTTGAGAATTGATCCAATCCTCTGTTTCTTCCAGTCACGGCACTTGGGAAAGTTCTGTTGGGTTCTGCAAGCTTCTCGCCTCTTACTTTCCTTTTTTCTTCTTCGTTTGTTGGCGAACAATTTGTTTTTTTGCGACAGCAGCAACAACAGCGGCAGCAGGCAAACCTTGCGGCTACAGTAACCACTACATACCCCGGCAAGGCAAGGGGAGGGTAAAAAAGGAAACATTCCTAGAGAAAAAAGTCCCTATAAACAACACGGCCCCTCCTGTTAATGCGAAGGACGACCTTGACTTGCAGGTCCTCCCTCCAGAAGCCGGTCACGTCGCGACAGTCATGGCTTTCAGCTTCGGAAACCAAGGGAATGCCATGCTTGGAAGCACGGCTGGGGGCGGAGGACTGAGCCAAGGCCCCGAGCTGGAGGTGATCCAGACCGAGGTGAGATCTGGTCACCGACACCGTCGATGCCACTGTCTATTGCAAGTTCGAGGCTCACCATGTAAATCTATTCAGGCGCTTGGTTTCAAGTCGATTGCCAGCGACGCGAAGCTCCGGCTTACCTCTGCGTGGTCTCCCCCACCCGCCGATACGGCCTCGCTCATTAGCATCGCCGTCCGCCGCGGCCTCGTCGCCGCGGCAGGCCCCGATGGCATCACGATCGCGTCGACCGAATCCGTACGCAAGGGCTTCGAGACCGAGAAGGAGGGCGACTCCGACGTCCGCGCTTTCGAACCTCAGGGCAAGCTGCCCATGCCCATGAGGGTTTCGCAGCTCGCTTTCAGCGCCGACGAGAACTACCTGATCCTTTCCGCCGAGAGCGGGGGCGGGCTCGCTGTCTACGAGGTAAATAGCCTGCTCCAGGGCGGTACAAAGGCTGCGTTCGAGCTTGCGACGAACGGCGAAACGTTGAGGACTCTTATTCCGAACCCCACAATCGAGAAGGCGGAACTGTGCGCCATTGTAACGAACAATGGCAACCTGCACATCGCGAACCTGAAGGAAAGGCAACTCAGCAATTCGCTCAGGGCGCAAGTGAGCTGTATAAGCTGGAGCACGAAGGGAAAGCAGCTGGTAGCGGGCTTGGCGGATGGCACCATCCTCCAGATGACCCCCGAGGGCGAAGGAAAGGGCGAGATCCCACGGCCACCGAACGTGGCCAACGCTCACGGTAGGTTTTCGCCGTCTGGTACGCGTCGTTGTTAGGAACTAATCGGCTTCAGTCTCTTCTCTGAGTTGGTTGGAGAACCACCTCTTCCTCGCGATTCATACTTCAACGTCCGAATCCCCTCCCACTTCAGTTTACCACATCATTACAAGAAAGATGCCGTCAGATTTTACTTTCCAAAAACTTACCGACCCTGTCGACGCCTTTGGCGCCGAGAAGACCCCTCACCACTCAATACTGAGACTGAAGGACTTCCCCCCCAACCTGCAGGACCTCCTGATTGTGGCGTCTACCGCCTCGCCAGACATTGGCCTCCTGAGCAGGGCCAAATCGCCTTTGACAGCTGACCACCCAGTAGACACTGCCGGCGTCTTTACCACAACAGAGTTAGCGGATGACTCTAAACGCGCCTCTCTTCCCATGAATGAGAGCTTCGACACAACCTTTCCTATCGGTGTCGCCCTCGATCTCTCGAGCAAGGATAAGGTTTACAAACCCCTCCCTGCAGATGAAGAGATTGAGGACTCTCCTGGCCCGCTGCCAGGCCTGTGGGTGCTGAACAACGAAGGCGTGTTAAGCGCATGGTGGATCGTGTATGAAGAATCCATCAGGCAAGGCATGACTTATCCCGGCATGGCCGCACTCGACACTTCTGCGCCACCTGTGGTAGCCTCGTTAACACCGGCACCAGCAGCGGGCGCATCCGCCTCAGACAAGCCAGCCTTCGGTACCCCTTCAAGCACGCCGGCATTTGGCTCAACTTCTTCTCTAGGCTCGGCACAGAAGCCCTCACCCTTCAGTGCCAGTGGGTCTAAGATACCCACATTTGGCGGCTCTTCAACGCTCGGTGCGAAGGTTTCACCTTGGGGAAGTGGCACCACCCAAAGTTCCACCACGCCTGCAGCTTCTACCGGTTCCGCCTTCGGCAGCGGTGCCTTTGGTGGCACCTCAGCAGCATCCGGCTCTGGGTTTAGCCAGTCATCTGCCCCTAAGTCAGTATTTGGCAGCGGCGGCGCGTTTGGGAGCCCCTCTGTCTCTTCCTCAAGCCCTGCGTTCGGCCAACCGTCATCGATTGGCTTTGGTCAGTCGTCGGCACTCGGGCAAAAATCATCACCGTGGGCATCAGGGGGTGCATCTAGCTCAACTGCGGTTGCGTCACCGGTGTTCGGCCAATCCAGCTTCGGCAGTCTTGGCAATTCTGGCGCAAGGAGCCCCTTTGGTGGCGCATCCGACTCGACCCCTAAGGCTACTCCAGCTTCTGGAGGATTCGCCAGCTTTGCCAAATCTAGCGGATTTGCTTCGCTTGGTAACAAGAGCAACGAGGGTGGAAGCGTGTTCTCAAGCAAGCCCTCGTCAAGTCCCTTTGGCACAGGTGCTCAGCCGTCTACGACCTCAAAAGAGACTGCCTTCCCCCCGCCAAGTTCGAGTGGCCCTGCGACTAGCAATCCGTTTAGCCAGCCGTTCAAGCTGGGAACCACCTTCAAAGCCGACCCCTCTGCGAATGACGATGATGAAAAACCCTCTACCCCTGGTGCTGGTGGATCGTCCCTCTTCGGCAGCAACTTTGGTTCTGCTCTCGGAGATGCAGAGAAGAAGACTCCTCCCAGGGACCAGGGAACGGACACGACGGATGAGACACCTAAGGCGAAGTCGATCTTCAGTATCGGTCAATCGACCACCCCTACAACAACTCCTGCACCCTCCAAATTTGGCTTCCCGTCAGCGACTATCACAACGTCGGCCCCAAAGAGTGGTTTGTTCGGCTTCCCATCGCAACCAGCCACTGGGGGTCTATTCGGCTCCGCAAGGTCCGCCGAGAAGACGACAGACATAAAGATCGAATCCGAACAGAAGTCTCTAAGTGACGCTCCTCTGCCCCCTGAATCAACAAGCAAGAATGAGTATCCGCTAGGAGAATCTTCGTCTTCCTCGGGCACAGGCAATGCTCCTTCAGATGGCGGAAGTAAGCCTTCCCCCAAGGTGGACAATGCACCTCTGCCTCCCGATTTTCTATCGATGCCAAAGGCCAAAACGCAAGAAGCCGCAGCCGCACCGCTGACTTCCAGCTTCCTCGGGCCTTCCAAGCCTCAGGGAAGCACCACCCCAGTCGATGAGGCACCGCTTCCACCCGACTTCCTTACGCCCAAGCCAGGCAAAGCTGCAGAGTCCACCACACCTTCTGAGGCGCTACCGTTGCCAGCGGATGATAACTCCAGGTCTTCTGCGGAGCCGGAGCTGGGGCCGGAAAGGCCCAAATCAACGGCGCCGGCCACTGCTCCTGACTTCTTGAAGATGCCCAAGCAGTCACTTTCGTCAGCAACCTGGTCGTCTACGCCGCGGGGAAACACTCCTGCAGTTGATGACGCCCCATTGCCTCCGGACTTCTTGTCCAAGCCTAAGGAAAATGCCCTGCCTCCCATTCCGACTATCCCTGAGAGTGAACACGGCAGTGATCTTGAGGACGAAGACGAAGAGGACAATGACGGTTCTGAAGGCAGCGGCGTGATGGTCTCCAAGGACCTCAGTCCATCTATGACGGCAATGACGCCTACAGCTGGCATGACCCCGCAGAGCTCATTCGGTGGGGTGAGCAGCAGCACCTACTCCATTCCACGCACCGAGGAGGAGAGGCCACGAGCATCACTGTTTGGCGACCTCAGCCGCAATGCTCCCATGTTCCCTCGCCCCTCGCAAACCAGTCCTCGTTCTCCCAGTCCGGTCAGAGGGGGTGCTGTACCAGGACGCATGCTGCGTCAGGAGTCGGCTCGTTCGGTTAGCGCCCCAGGCATGGCATCCCAGATCCTTGCGGCACAGAAGAAGCAGCCTTCTCAGATGGGCTCGTCGATTATTAGCAATAAGCCTGCCGAAGACCACTTCATCTCTCAGCAGAGAATTGCGCGTCAGAGACGTCAGGCAGAAGAGACCAAAACGCTGGAGGACGAAGAGGACGACGAGATTCAGAAGATTCTTGCGTCCAAGATTGAGCCATCACTCAAGTTGGACGACTTCATTGCACATTCCAACGTGGTACCATCGGCCAAAGAGACTATCCCAGCCCAGGTTGAAGCTGTGTACCGTGACATCAATTCGATGATTGATACACTTGGTCTGAATGCCCGCTCTCTGGCCAGCTTCCTCATGGGACACGATATTGGCTTCAAGGCGGGCGGTCGACACAAGGAAGACCTCGAGGACCCCGACAGCTGGGTTCTTTCTGAGATTGACGAACTTGGGGAAGTTATTGACAGATCATTGGCCCAAGATCTCGAGGAAGGACGTGTCCACGATGTTGAGGAGAAGCTTGAGGCTTGCAACGAACTTGCCCGTGAGATGTCTCGCCTCCGCTCGAAGCAAGACGACCTGAAGAAGATAATCATGGTCAAGACGGACCCGGAACAGGCCGACCTCAACCGCACACTGCCTCTGAGCGCCGAACAAGCCAGCCAGCAGAATGAACTGCGCCGCGAATACACAAACTTCACGAAGCTGCTTGCCGAAGCCGAGGAGGCGCTGACGATTCTCAAGACAAGGATCGCCGCCACAAGCAGTGCGTCTGGCAAGGGCAATTCCAACATGCCTACTGTTGAAGCCGTCATGCGCACCATCAGCAAGATGACGAGCATGGTGGAGAAACGTTCCGGCGATATTGACGTCCTGGAAAACCAAATGCGCAAACTCCGGCTCTCGTCTGTCAACAGCCGAGAGGGCTCGCCGATGGTCACGCCTCAAAGGAATAGCCGCTCTACCATGTTCTCGCCCGAACGAACGGCCATGGCCTCGCCCGGCACCCTGCGCCACTCCTTCATGTCGTCCATGGCCTCGTACGGCGGCCGTGCCACGCCGCCCCGCAAGAAGTTGAGCGGGTTTAGCGCAGAAGAGAAGTCGGATCTGATGGCGAAGCGAGCTAAGCGCCAGGCCGTGCTAAACAAGCTCAAGGCCAACGTCGAGCGGACAGGTGTGAGCGTGTGGGCAATGGAGGACATTGAATGAGTGGTTTGAGGGATGATACGACCAACAGTGGAGTTAACGAAGCAATGGGCCTTGATATTGTGAAGCGTAGATAGTGTATATCGTAATGTACAATCAAACTAGTACTCAGCCCCCCACTTGCATGTCTCCAAATTCAAGGACAGACAAGCCCGTAGTGACCACAAGACACTTACAAGTAATGTATATACATCACCAATCAATTTAAATATACTTCACTCGAAACTACCACTCCAGTAAACATAAGTCAATATTCCACCAGCCCAGGCAGCATAAAACAACAACACTTTGTTATACTTTCTATCTCCTTAGGGCTGCCTACCAACACTCACCCACCCCGTGCTGTTGGACGTTGGTGACAAGAATATGGCCTTGTGCCGTGACGTCCGACTGAATGACTTATCAACTCGGTCTCGCTGACAAAACAACATGGTTGCCGTTGCACCGCTTTCGCCCGTTTCCATTCCTCGCTTGACTGCATGCTGTCGGAGTAACAATCGCTCTACTTTCCCCTCCCGTGTTGGGCAGTCGTACGCGGCGGAGGCGCACGCCAGCTGGAATTAGATGTGTCTGGTCATTCCAAGCTCTTCCAGTCGATAAAGAAAGGTGGGACGGGGGGAACCCAAGGTCACTATTGCGTCGACGTTGATGCAAATGTCGCCGAGCAGGCTCAAACCAGAGTAGTTGACATTATTCAGCAGTGACCGGCGTACAGACACATGTACCGTTTACCATCTGTGAATGCACCGACCTATCTACACCGTGCTTTAAAAACGAAGCCGCGTTCGCTTTTTGTTCCTATCCAACCTCTTGCGACAAATTTAGCAGAAGGAAGGACGACCCGTTCGTCATTACACTATATTATAAACCCGCTTCGCAATCAGGTAGCATCCCATACCAAATGCCAAGAGGCCTGCCGTGATCGCCCAGAACCATTTCAAGTCGCCCTCGTACTCCTGGCCGGGCACCCAGACGTTCATACCCCACAAGCCTGTGATAATGTTCATGGGCAGCACGATGGTGCCCAGCACAGTCAGCTTGCCGAGTACGTCCGCCGTCTTCTCCTGTCGCTCATTCATACGAATGTTGATCTGCGCCAGATAGTTTCCATGAGACCGGGCTAGGATTCTAAGGGGCCAAAGTTAGGTCTGACGCAGAAGATTGCGCGCCGGAAAGACAAGGTAACTTACTTTTCGTAGTGACTGAGGTTAGACGTCATGGTTACAATATGATCCTGAATATCGCCCAGGTATAGCCCTATATCCGACCTCGGGGCCACCTCCCAGCGCTCGTTGCAACGTTTCGCGAAGCCCTTGATGACATCGGCCTTGTTGCCAAGTAGACGGTAAAGACTCATGACACGCTTGCGGCAATCGCCCACTCTTCGAAGCATATCACCTTCAGATCCTACTGACGTTCCAGCATTGCTTGCCTTCTCGTCGGCTACGTCGTTCTTGGTGTTGCCAGTTGTGGAGTGAAGCTTCAGAATCTCGTCGTCTATGTCGTCGACTTCGTCTTCGATGTTTTGAATCAGCGGCACAAACACGTCCGTGATGTCGTCAATAATGGCGTACGAGATCCAATCAGAGTTTACAATCAGGTAATCCTTGAGCTGACGGATACGACGACGCACGTTGGCGGGATGTGGCGTCATGGAGAAGTGAAAGCTGATGACACCCTCGCGGAAGACGATGACATACATGTTGACGGGTTCCAAATAGTCCTCGCTGTTTTGGTCCTGATCAAAAGATCGGTAGTTGACGAAGTAGTAGTGCCGGAATAACTCTACCTTTTCCCGCGCCTCCTGGACCATGATGTCCTCGGCTGTAAGCGGGTGAATACCGAAAGCCTTGGACAGCACCTTCATCTCTGCTTCGGTCGGGGAGAGGACGTCTAGCCACCACACAGGTCTCTCGCCATACCTTGGTGTGTTGTCAAGTAACTCCGGCGTCTGTGTGGCCTGGTTGCCTACAACCGGCGATCTGACACCAGTGGGTGTATGATGAACAGACGCCGCACGAGAGCTGCCTCCCGAAGTCTTGTCTGGTGACTTGACACCATCCCGTTTCTCACCATCCGTTTGAGTGTTTGCCAAGGATGGTTGCCGTTTCGGATCCCGGGAGTCTCCATTCTGTCCAGTGTGGGAATGATGTGTGGAGAGCGGCAACAAGCCAGCCTCCTCCTCGCCGCTATCCTCACTCTCGTCATCGGAAAGGACGCGTGGCTCCGGAATGAACAGCTCCTGGAAGTTCCCGCCCGGTTGCACGAGCTCCGATATAGTTTGACTGTGAATAGTGCTCTGAAACTCCTCGTTAAAATAAGTGAACCGGTAAGGCGCGTCTTCCTCCGCACGATACCATTCTCGGGTAATGGGCCGTAGGCGACCGTTGATAAGCTGAGGCTCCGTAATGCGCTTGACGCGTCTCTCTTCGCTGCGGCCTTCCTTTTCGAAGCGGCTCCATTCTTCCAGAATGGCGAGATCCGGCCAACGGCGGCGACGACGCCTCGGGCGTTGCTTAGCTTCTGGGTCCTGCGAGTGCCCCTCCTCGTCCCCAATTTCGGAGATGCCGCTCGGAAAACAAACGTCCTCCTGGGCAGTCAAGGCGATATTGTTCCTCCGTGCCATATCCGGCGATGAATCATTGCGACTGTCTCGATCTGAGCGGGAGTCCACGCTCCCCCTGTGACTGTTACATGGCGAAGCATGTATGTCAATCTCGTCGTCATGGATCATAACATCCCCGAAGCTCAGGTTCAATGGGTCTGAGGGCCGGAATGTGGGTGATCCGGGCATCGACGGGGGATAGTTGACGTTATAGCTGTCGTTTTGAAAAGGAGTTGCAAGCTTCGTTCTGGAGGATCTGCTAGACCCGCGTCGGCTCATACGCTGGCGAGGGTCGTTTGAGCCATAGCCGGAATACAATGGGGCAGTGGAAGAGCGCTGAATAGACCTGGACAACAAAGGCGCACCCTCGTCCCACGATCCTTCATCATCCTCTGCACTATCTCCGACATAAGCATTGCGCAACCTGCTGCCCGTCTGCGGCGTCGTTGTCGTTGTGGCGGAGAATGGGGTAGAAGCATTCATGATGGACGGTCTTCGAGGTCGGAGCGGCGGTTGTTGTTCCCTGATTCACACATTGAGCATATTGTCATTCCGTGAGCTCGATCCAAAAAACAAAGGGACTCACCGATGATCCAGAAGCGCCTCGCTTTCGATGCTCGTATTGCTCAGATTATTGCGCTGACGGTAAAACTCGTCACGATCGGGCGCTGACGCAGCAGCTTCGTCGTGCGACTCCTCGGGCAAAATGGCGAAGGACTTGCGGCGGTTGCGCTTCTTCTTGGCTCCACCCCGGTGATTCTTACGCCGGCGTGGCTGTTGGTGCTGTCCGTTCGGATCATTTGCGTTGGCGTTGTTCGAGGGTGTTGTTGGTGGAGGTGGTGCTGCCGAGGTCGAGCCTGGGTTCATGGGTGTCCTTTGGGGGCCTGCTGTCCGCAGATGGGCAGCCAAGGGCTGGAACGGGTTATCAGGCATGATAGTAACGATGCGTCACCCCAGTCGTGGGTGCAGGTCTGTGTAGATTAGGAGATGTTAATGGTGCCGTGTGGCGAGTCCTGCGAAGTTTGGTGGCGATGGGGCTGATTCCACGTGAAGAACGAAAGCGGGCGAACTGGGGAGTGGATCTCAGCGGTCCTTTCTTGCGGTTTTGAGTGGAGCGGAATCATGAAAGCTCGACTGGACACCAAACACCTATCTATGGAATGGTGGAAAGTGCCAAGGGGCCGTGGTAGAGGATATTCGAGGGCTCAGAATACGAAGCCATTGGAGGGAAGGCTAGGAAACGAGGGCAATGCAACACAACTATTACGGGCTGGGTCTGTGAGGGAAAAGTCTGCCGATCGCGTTGAAAAGAGCGAAAGATAAATAATAATAAACGATGCACTCAGTTACTCTTGGTGATGTCAGTGGATGGAACAACCCAGCAAGTGTGTCTAGAGCTAAGCTGCTTCGAGAGCCCCCCCGGCCGTCCCAGCACCTTGCAGCGAGATCCACCCAGGTGTTTCCGTCATATGGAGGTCCGAGAGCAGCTCCCTTCTGAGGTTCTGTATCCACAGCCACCGATGCAAAACTGCAGCCAGCACTGAGTGAGGGCACCCTCCCCCACAGTGGAGTCCTAGTGCCAAACGGGGCATCCCTTCAGTGTGCCACGCAGTGCTGTACTGTACGCTTACCCGCTCCGCAAGTCTTTCAGGCCGCCATGCAAGCTCAAAGCTTACTATGTAGCTCCTCGCAATACTAACCGCCCTGGAGGTTAATCGCTTGCGGCAGGTGGGCACACGACCTCCAACTCTAAGACTCCAAGGAGGAGGACCATTGGGATGGCCGTCTGGGCGCTGAGTATCTTTCCCACCTGTCGAATGGATCATGTGAAGTCCGGGGGCTACCCAGGTACCTACCTATAAGTAGGTATCCAGCCAACATCTCCCACTCTGTAAAAAAAAAAAAAAAAAAACCCTCAATGAATAAAAACGTCAGAATTCCTGTAGTGTAGACAGTATCATAGAATGTCTGAGCCAAGATTCGTCCGAAATCAGTACTTCTTGCTAGGGTACACGCTTGCCACATACTCATGTAGAAACAGCGACTGCGGCGGGAGTTGGGCCCATGATAGAGGAAGATGGATTGTCTGCCGGTATAGTTAAGGGTAAGGTCAGCCTGGGGCTACTTGTTGTTTTACTACCGGTACATCACAGAAACAGGGTCAGTTAGACACCAACAAGTGCAGATCATATCGTTGCACAATCGCGTGTCAAATGACCCTTACCCGCCAAATGTATCGCCGAGTAGCGCCTCATTTCTTCACATCTCTCCTGTAACTCATCATGAAACTCTTCACACCGAGTGGGTTTGGTGTTTTAGTTGCAAGGTGGCCCTGGGCCGTTTGACTCGGGCATTAATGAATCGGAAAGAATTCATGTGCCTATCACGCGCTAAGGCTTGATCAAATAACCGAATCCTTCCGCCGACAAACCTTTGCCCAACTTTGAGGTTCGGAAGAGCCCTGCCAGCTTGACCCAAGAGTATTCCATTGTAATACATTGTATTGTGAGCCCTCTTGTAAATCCACATCTGGCTCAATCGAGCTCTTGCATTGACAGTAAGTATACCCGAACTTTTGAGTTACCACCTATGCTTGCCTCCCTCCATGTCTCGTCCGGATATCAAAATGCCAATTTGTGTACAAAGAAATGCCGTATTTCGACCTCCATGACTGCAGCCAGTTTTGCCACCATTCCTTGCTTGAACTTGCACCCTCATTACGAGCCTCACTGGAAGCTCCACAGCTTCGTCACTAGGTTGTCTTGGAATCCAGAATCCGGCTCGTTCGGGAGGAACACCCTTTTCGGAATCTGGAACTCGATAACGGGCTGCTTCTTGACCTGCTTGCTCATCTCGGCCTCGAGCAACTGCGAAACGGTCAGTCAACCAATACGCCTACTCGTCCGCTGTAGATGTCACTTACACTGCCGTATGAGTGGTCGAGGAAGTCCTCGATATTATAGGACTGCTTGGTGAACTGCTCCGACATAATCTTGGCGATCGTCGCTACATTGGGGTGGTAGTGTGACTGCAGCTGCACAATCTCCCACAGACAGCTGTCGATGGCGTGCGTCTCCATCGGGTCGGCCTCGTCGGCCACAAAAGGGTCATCGAGGCCCTGCTTCTCCATGAGCATCTTGGCCTCCGGGCCCCTTGTCTCCCTGTGGATCATAAACGTGCAGAGCGGGTGCCTCTTGAGGATGTTGTACATCCAAGGCACCACAAAGACAATAGCACTTGGAGGCGCGTTCAAGCTCAAACGTGCCAATCTTTTGATGAAACTTGCCACCAACACCGCTGGCAAATGAGTCGACGACAGGAATGTGTCCATCAGCCGGAAAAATCTTGACCGGTGCTTCGAGTGCAGAATCTCGCTGTCCAGAAGGGAGTAGAGCTTTGTGTAGAACGATGGGTAATCTAGGTTGCGCTCCTTGATGAGATAGAAAACACCAGAGAGCGCAAGCAGCGAGATTGAACCGCCGGCGTCATACGAGTCTGTAAGGAAGTCGGCAAGCAATTCCGGTCTGATGAACCACGGCGCAATCTCATTGGACATAACATCCAGCACCTTTTTTCGCTGCTCTCGTGTTGCTGCAAGCTTAAGAACGGCGAGCCAGGCATCCTGGCCTTGCTTCTTGTGCTGGTGAAGAGAGTTGATGTTGTGCGACTTCTTCTTGGGCTTCTCGGCAAAGAAGTTGCCGAGTTCGGTGGGTACGTCACCAATGTTTGTGAGCAGCTCGAAGGCATCATCGAAAAGCTCGTCCTCGGGCAAAGAGCCGGGCGTCTCAGCCAGAGACCTGGAAGCTGTCAGTTTCTATCAGCCTCGTGCAATGTGTCCTCCTACACTTACTTGATTGCCTTTAGCGTGGAAAAGCGGATGTCGTCGTATTGGGTCAAGTATTTCTCTACAAACTCCACGCGCGTATCATCGCTGTCTGATTGCAATAGACCCGCGATGATCTGTTCAAGGAAGTTGTGAGGGAAGATGTAGTCTTCCTTCTCGTAAAGATGTTGCGCCTCGACCTTGAGACACCGCATGGCCAGCGTCAAAGCTGTCGAGGCCAGATCCTCCTTGGAAAGAAGGGATATGAGCACATCCTTGTATTCGAAATACCGTTCTTTGAGCCAGTGCGTAACAATCGCCTCCTTTTCAGGCAGACCCTTCCTGGGAACGAGAGCTCCTGCAGAAAGCAGTCTCACAAAAACTCTGCACAGAGCTACACAGGCCAGGGTCGCCACTTCAGGTTCATCCTCGTGAGTGTTCGTGGTTTTGATCAATTTTGAAATGTTGTTGTAATGCTTCTTGGACTCGAAAATATCATTCTCAAGTAATAGGATCTCAGCCTGAGGGTCGTTGCTCTCATTGCTCTCTGCTTCAGACTCAGATTCTGATTTGGAGCGCTTTTTCGACTTTTCCTTCGGTGATACTCTCTTTCTCTTCAGGCCTTCGCCTGAGACTCTGGCGGGCATGCTGGGCGAATTTTGTCTGGTAGTATGATGCTGTTGTTATGAATCGTGAAGACCGATCTCAGATTTACAGCGGGTCCTGCGATTTTTTCCTTTGAGGTACCCTGGGACTACTTCCGGGCCCCACTGGAGACTCCCCGAGCGTAGCCAAATTCAATTCGCCGCAGGCAAGAGGACAGCCAGGCCGAGGACATCCGTGGTATCACGTGACGGTCTCCGTAACCGAGTTAGCGCCAATTACCTCTCGAAGGTTTTGTCAAACCTCACCTTGCAAGCTCCGACCTCAAGTCCTTAATACCGCACCCCATATCATCTCACAATGGCGTCCCGCTTGGCTAGAAGCGCCGTCGGTACGTCCAGACATCCTCCCAGATCCCTTGCCGTATCAATTGGCAAATCCGATCGAGCACGATGACGTCGAAAACTTCGGAACAAGGTGGCTAACACGTAGTCCCCTCTCCCTTGAACAGGCGCGAACCTCCTTCGGCCGACCCTGGCCCGCCGCACCCTGCCCGCCATCTCGGCCTCGATCGCCGGCGCCCGCAACGCGTCTAACATTCCCGCCGAGGATCCCAAGAAGAAGGCCCAGTCCATCGTCGACTCCCTGCCCGGCAACTCGCTGCTCTCCAAGACTGCCATCCTTTCCTCGTCCGCCGCCCTGAGCGTCTACGCCATCAGCAACGAGTACTACGTCGTCAACGAGGAGACCGTCGTCGCCTTCTGCCTGCTCGCCGTCTGGGGTGGTTTGATCAAGTACGGAGGCCCGATGTACAGCGAGTGGGCCCAGGGACAAGCCGACAAGATCAAGGGCATCCTCAACTCGGCCCGCGCCGACCACACTCAGGCTGTCAAGGGCCGTATTGAGGACGTCCAGCAGATGTCCGGCGTCGTTGACATCACCAAGTCCTTGTTTGCTGTTTCTAAGGTACGGATCATGGTGCAGACGACGATCATTGGAAGGGGATAACATCTCGATATATCGGACGGACGAATGCGCGGAACGATATGGGTGGACCGAGTATTTATTTAAGATGAAGATAAGTAGCTAACGGATATCGACGATAGGAAACCGCTCAGCTTGAGGCTCAGGCCTACGAGCAGCAGCAGAAGACTGCCCTGGCCGCCGAGGCCAAGGCCGTCCTCGACTCCTGGGTCCGCTACGAAGGCCAGGTCAAGGCTCGCCAGCAGAAGGAGCTCGCTGAGAACATCATCGCCAAGGTTACCAAGGAGCTTGAGAACCCCAAGGTTCTCCAGCAGATCCTCCAGCAGAGCGTCGCTGAGGTTGAGAGTACGTACTGTCATTCGATCTTCCCCTCCGTCATCGGAGTCTGCCGCAACAATACTGACTGACGCCCCGTCCACAACAGAGATCGTCTCCTCCAAGGCCCAATAGATTCCCACCCACCCTAGAGTCTGAAAGCGAGAAGGTTTTTTTCCTTTGTCCAAGGGGATTATGTTCCCTTGCGTGTCAATAAACACCCTGTGCATTAGCCAAATTCAAGAAGTTGAGAGAAGACAGGACTGGACCGCTGCTATACGTGCGAAATGAGTGTTCAATTAGGGAAACGATTAGCCCAGCAATCGCACCACCATCTCCAACGTCGGCTTCGAGTTGTGGTGTTTTTCTGGAGCATATCCTAGTCTACTTGGTACGTTCAATATTTAGCATATTGAACGTGACCGCGCCGACCTCCCCTCGCATATCCGATCGCTCCGACATTCTCCGTCCAAGCAAGCAAAGAACTCTCCTCCCCCAAAAAGCGATGGCCAATCTTCCAATAATGCCTCCGTATTGACCATGACAGCATTAGAATTCTCACCAGCTAGTAACTTCATAAAATATAATTGCGTAGGATAAATTCGATAATGCAATTCTGTGTCAATCTTCTGGCTGCCCTCTCCACACAGCTGAGGAAACTATGTTCTTGATTCTGACGCATACGAGCCTAAACGCCCCCTTCGAAATCGCCCTCAAGCCAGCCCAAAAGTCATGAGCAAAAAGTATTGAGAAAGGAAAAGCCTCCAGGTTGTTCCGCAAAAGCATCGCAAAACGTTGCTACAAAGGAAAATTGTTACATTCGATCATAAAATGTGATCGCACAAACCCGAAAGAAACACCCCGCCAGACGTGCGTGCAAGCATTACCTGTCGCGCGTATTCTTTAGTAAATAGGTCGCGGCTCTTCCCATTTCGAATGCGCACCAGCTTTGTTCTCTGATGCTTCAAGGGTATCTTCAGTTTTGACGTCTGCGGCCAAGGAATGACGTCCACTCTTGCGCCTCCTGGCACCGTCCCCAGCGATAGGTCCGATCCACTCCCAAGCACGGCCAACCTCACCGTTGCGTCCCTCTCTCTGACTGGTGCGAACATTGCTGTTCTGTTCAACGACAGCCTTGACTCGGGTCCAGATACGGTCTCGCTCGTCGAGTGAGTGCACCGAACGCAAGACGTCGTCACGGAGGTTGGGCAGAAACAACCAAGGGTCATCAATATCTTCCTCACCAAGCTCCTTTTGCGTTGCAAGTCTCGACAGAACAAGGTCGACAAGCGCGGGAACCTGCGCGACTGTTGCCTTGTGAGACCTGTACCTTCTTCGAACGTAAAAGTAGGCCGAGACCAAGAAGATTACAGATCCAATTGAGAGTCGATGTCTTGCCAGACCGAGTTTGACTGAACGCTTGAGGGCACAGCCGATCGGAAGCCGAGCGAGAGAGGAGGACGATAGATAGGCGTCTGAAATTGAGGTGGAATTGGCCTTTCTACTTCGGGCACAACCGATCTGGTTAGTACACTGGTCAGAATGAGTATTGACGTTATTGACTTGTGGGTATAGTCGAGGAACATGAGAAGAGCAAAACAAGGTGACTGATGACTTACGGTACAACTTCCACTTCCTCTCGCCCTTTGACTTCCCCAATGGCGGCAACCCAAAGGTCGTCAAACTCCTGCTCGCTCATCTTCTTGCTCCGCTTCGAGCTGATGGCCGCCTTCAACTCCTCTTCTTTAATGGACGGGGTTTCTGTCGACTGACCAGCGTCAGCAGAAGAGCCACCGCACTCAAACTGTGCACGTCGTTCCCGCAGCTCCTCAACAGCCTTGTCAGCTACAGTCTTGACTCTCCTAACCTTCTCTCCGTCCGGCTCGCAGGTTGGAGGGAGGGGTACCAGCCCGCCTAATGACAGCGGGTGCGGCTTCAAAATAAAGTCAGGTTCGCAACGGACGGAAAAATCTTCGTAGCAATAGGCATGTTGGGGACAAGGCTCGCACTGGGGTTCAGCGAGCTGAACGGCCCAATCGGGCACTGTGATATCTGCAGGTATGATTTGCGTTGCAGGCCGACCAAGTCCGCAATACCCGACAGCTACCTTTTCTTGTCGGTACCATGCGCCGTAGGCTCCAATAAGCGAAACAGCAAGAGCCCACAGGGGCTTGGAAAGACTCCGTCTCTGATGAGCAGGCTCTGTACGTCGCGGCGCAAGCGCCTTTTCGCCGCTCGCAGCCATCTCTTGTTCCATCTCGAACTGCGCATCGGGAGTGAACTCTTCTCCGGCTTCGACTTCGTGAGACTGAATGCTGGGGGTCTCATCACGCAACAAGTCGCTAACAGGAAGTTCGAACGCATGAGACTTTCTGGATGATCTGGGTCGATCTCCACCGTGATGGCCATCTGTCCGTCGTCGAGTGCTGCCGTCCTGTCTGTCGCGTGCCACTTCCGTGCCAGTGGTTTTCCTTCGCCCCGTTGGGCTGACCACGAGCTGCGCAGCCGGGCTGCCACTTTGGAAGGGGTTTTCGGACGAAAAGTACTCAGACTCCCGACGGTTGAAGAAATCCTCCTCCGACTCCTCTTGCTTGATCTTGGGCATTTTGGGAGTGGTCGCTTGCTTGTAAGCGGACACGAGCGGCTCCGCTTCAGCATATGTCTCGGTATACTGCTCGACATAAGGCTGAGGCTCAGGCTCAGGCAGTTGCCTGCTTGCCGGGCGCACCTTTCTCTTCGTCGGGCTTATAGATGGCGGCGCCTCTTGCTCGTGCTCCGCGCTCTTAAGCCTGGCGGACGCCTTGCGCGGCGACTTTGATCTTGTCACTCTAGGTGGGGGAGGTGCAAGGTCGTAGTCCTCGAAGAAGTCGGTATCTTGGGAGCTTCCAGCGTCGACGATGCCCTTGCTTGATCTCTTGGCCCTAGCCTGCTTCGCCAGTATCTTCTTTGCCTGGGGAACGACCTCATCTTCGAAAAGCTGGATAAGCTGCGGTTTCTTCGCCGTGGCGGGGTATTGGACCTCGTGCGCAACTAGAATCGATCGTAACCGGGGTACTGTCAATGACTTGGAATCGAACCCCGGCTGAAGATATTCGTAATCGTCCATGTTGGACGTGTTGGGGTCTGGCGATATTGCAAAAAGAGCGAATAATATAGGCAGAGAAAATGAAACGTTGCGCTTAAGAGAAGGCTCTCCTGTAAGGATATCCGTGTGACACTTCCAAAGGAAAGCTCAAAGCAACCTTTGTAGTCTGTGCCGTGGAACCTTGGATTGGCAGCAAGAAACGGATGACAACGCAAAATGCTGTCGCGCAGAATATTTAGCCTTGATTGTCTGCGGCCTTGATAGGTAGGCAGACACCAGGTCAGAGCGATGGGGGTGGATGTAGGACGCAAGTTGTGCAATGGATGCGACCAGTGGACAGATGTTGATGAAGTCAAATGAAAGCCCGCTGACGCAACAAACAGGAGCACTAGCTGCCTCTGGGTGCTGTGGCAACAGGTCATGCGGGCAAAAATACCTACCTTGTGTGGGGGCGACTTGCAGGCAGGGTGTCACTTCTTCAAGATTACAGGGATGTCAAGCACCGAGGGGCTTGGGTAGCCTGAACTAGCCACATTACTAATCGATAGGAGCTAACCCAATATCTTGGCTCACGCCATAGCTGTGGCTACATACAGTGTGGCGATTTTATTTTATTTTTAACTGTCGTCTCAATTGATCGTTCCATGTGATCGTGGATTTGTATAACCCAGAAATCCCCCTTCTGAAGGCTTGTACACCATGGCGGCCCTCCGAGCTCTTTCGGCAAGGAATCGGTTTGTCTGCCGTAGCTGTACTCGCAAGTTTCAGACTCATGCTCGCCGGTCGTATGCGAACGCGAGCCCGGCATCGTCGACTGCGGAACCAGACATCTATGATGTTGTATGTGTGGGAGGCGGGCCAGCTGGTCTCAGCCTTCTTACTGCACTCCGTACGATTTGTATACCCGCCCAGACTCTTATAATACCACTAACTTCTCATAGGAGCCAATCCAGTGACTTCGCGCCTCAAGGTGGCTCTTGTCGAAGCTCAAGACCTCTCCAAGATCCGCGCTTGGAACCTCCCTTCCAGCCAGTTCTCGAACCGATGCAGTTCCCTCACACCCACCTCGGCGCAATATCTCAATATGATTGGAGCATGGCGCCACATCAAGCGCGAGCGTGTTCAAGACTACAACGAGATGCAGGTTTGGGACGGTGTTAGTGGCGCAAGAATCGAGTTCGACCGGCCCGCTAGCCCTGAGGCAGGAAAGACCATCGCGTACATGTGCGAGAACCTTAACTTGACTTCGGGTCTCTTGAGACGTCTCGAAGAGCTTGGTGGGGTCTCAATCTATGACCGGGCAAAAGTTGAGAATATCAGCTTTGGACACGAGACGGAGGACTTTGACCTGACGCAATGGCCCGTCGTTCACTTATCAGGTGGGAAACAATTGCATGCACGACTCTTGGTTGGAGCCGATGGTGCAAACAGTCCTGTTCGTACTTTCGCTGGGATCAAGGCACGAGGTTGGGACTACGGCAGGCATGGTGTCGTTGCAACGCTCCAGATGGAGGGCGAGGGAAGGGGTGGTGAGCACAACAAGATTGCATATCAACGCTTCTTGCCTACAGGCCCTGTGGCTATGCTGCCGCTCCCCGGAAACTACTCGACGCTGGTGTGGTCTACAACCCCTGAAAATGCTGCGGTTTTAAAGAACCTTCCGCCACAGGAATTCATTGCCATGGTCAACGCTGCCTTCTGCTTGAGCCCGGTCGATCTCGAATTTATGCATAAACAGCATGCTAGGCAGTCTGAGGAACTTGCCTGGAGATTGGAGCATACCCCCTTTGACCACAGGGCGGTCCCTCAACAGGTTGTCGGAGTTCAGGAGGGCACTGTTGCCTCATTTCCTCTCAAGATGCGACATGCCGACACATATACCGCCGAGCGCATCGCACTCGTCGGTGATGCGGCGCATACGATCCACCCGCTTGCCGGCCAGGGCTTAAACCAGGGCCAGGGTGACGTGCAGAGCCTGGTCAAGACCATACAGACAGCTGTCTCTACTGGCCAGGACTTGGGATCAACGCTTTCTCTCGAAGCATACAACGCAGAGCGGTATGCAGCGAACCACGTTGTACTGGGCGTCTGCGACAAGCTTCACAAGCTCTATTCCGTGGACAGCGGCCCTCTGGTGCCATTGCGATCTCTTGGTTTGAGTGCTGTAAATGCTCTGGGTCCTCTGAAGAAGTTCTTTATGGACCAGGCTTCCACTACTGGAGCGAAGCTTTTCTGAAGATGTATACATGTTATTTTATCCAGTGTCTTGTATCAACAGCCCATGTGGGAGTAGGGTAGGCTGAGCCACACGATTTGTATCATTATGCCACACATGGAAAACTTTCGTCTGTAGTACCTATATCGAGCACACATAATGACAACAGACCCGACATATCGAAAGTCCATGAACTGTGTAAGAAAATCTTCTAGAAAAGAGTACGATGCGGTATATACGTTGGCGCTCTGTCTCTTCATTCTACAAGTACACAAAAGGAAAGGTTCCTCAAAATCATTTTTGAATTCCATCCCCTGACACACCCCTTACCTGTCAACCTCGCCTACGCTACCGTTAGCCTCACTGTCGGTTGTTCTGTAGTAGCTGGGAGAAAACTTACCGAACACCAGATCCATCGTGCCAATGACCGCCACAGCGTCAGCAAGCATGTGCCCCTTCGATACGTGGTCGAAACCGCCCAAGTGAGCGAAACCGGGTGCCCTGATGTGAACACGGTAGGGTCTCTCGCTGCCGTCACTGACAACGAAGACGCCCATCTCACCCTTGGGGGCCTCAATGGCAGAGTAGGTCTCACCAGGGGGGACAGCGTAACCCTTGGTGTAGAGGAGGAAGTGGTGGATAAGAGCCTCCATGTTCTCCTTCATGGCGGCACGGGGAGGAGGAGAGATTTTGTAGTCCTCAACGCGGACGGGGCCGGCAGGCATCTTGTTAAGGCACTGGTGGATGATACGCAGAGACTGTCTGAACTCCTCCATGCGGCACAAGTATCGGTCGTAGCAGTCACCGCGGACACCAACAGGGACGTCAAACTCAACCTGATCGTAGGCGTCGTAAGGTTGGCTCTTGCGGATATCCCAAGGGACACCGGAACCACGAAGCATGACACCGGTGAAAGACAAGTTCAGAGCCTCAGCGGCAGAAACCACACCAATGCCCTGAAGACGCTGAATCCAGATACGGTTATCCGTGAGCATCTCCTCGGTCTCGTCGATACGGTCACCGAACTGAGTAGCCCACTGGTAGATGTCGTCGAGCAGACCAACGGGGATATCCTGGTGGACGCCACCAGGGCGGACGTAAGCGGCGTGGAGACGGGCACCAGAGACACGCTCGTAGAATTCCTAACAGACACATGGTTTAGTCGGACTTTCGTATCACCTCCTTCCACGGTCGTTCCGACTTACCATGAGCTTTTCACGCTCCTCGAATCCCCATAGGAACGGCGTCAGGGCACCGACGTCCATGGCGTGCGACAAAACAGACATAAGGTGGTTTAGGATACGGGTGATTTCACCGAAGAGAGTACGGATCCACTTCGCGCGATCGGGGATCTCGATATTGAGAAGCTTCTCGACAGCCAGTGCGAAACACTGCTCGTTGGTCATCATGGAGACGTAGTCAAGACGGTCGAAGTAGGGCAAGGCCTGGAGGTAGGTCTTGTACTCGCAAAGCTTCTCGGTCCCGCGGTGAAGCAGACCAACGTGAGGGTCGGCTCTGATAATCTCCTCACCATTGAGTTCGAGAATCAGACGCAACACACCGTGAGCAGCAGGATGCTGGGGACCAAAGTTGACGGTGTAGTGGCGGATCTTTCGGTCCTCGACAGACTCCTCAGGCTTGGAGAAGACATCCTGGTCCTTCGGCGGCGTCAGACTGTAGTGGTCCTCGGCGCGAGAAAAATCGGCAGAGGTCGGAGTGAGTCTCGTGCCCTGGTATTCGGAAGAAGCATCGGCGTATCGGCGCAGGCGGGTTGTCGAGAAGGGGCGGGTGGCGAGGGAGGTAGCTGCTGCCGGGCGTAGGCATAACCTCTTGGCGCTGTGGCCGGCGAGGCGGTAGAGGCCAGACATCGCGATCGTAGAGTGGAGAGACGGCTTCAAAAGAGCTCAAGGAGATGTACTGCCTCCAATTGAGCCTCCTTTATTATGCCAATGGCTGATGGCCGGCTAGGATAAATGGAGGGGATTCGCCTTCGAAAGTGTGTAGTGTGGCCGTCATATCCCGAAAGCTCGAACGCATCGATTCAAAATGGGCCCTCGCTGATTGGCCTAGCGGAGCGCGGTTTTACCGCAGCCCTTGCAGAGCATACAGTATGTACTGTCTTTGACACTGTGTACACTACCTACAAGGATCCCATCGTAAATGAGTGAGCTCTCACCAACGCGACTCAAGCTGTAGCTGTGATAACGAGGTACTAGGTAAGCAGTTGATCTCATTGAAACGCATCGAAGCTTGGCTCTCTATTTATTGAAACACATAATTATAGTTATAGCTCCTAATAGCCGTGCTTAACGTCCCGATGAGCTGATTGGAGGTTACAGACAGCATCACGCACCCACGCCGTTGAACGTACCTAGGCAGGCGCAGAACTCCTTTCGGAGCACTCGAAAATGCCATGGCCGTTCAGCTCTTCCAGCTCGGCAGGGTCGCCCACACATAGCCAGAAGGAAGATGGCGCACGCTCCAAGCCCACATCATGGAACGATCTCCTCCCGAAGCCTGATCCTCCACTACACGCCGCAAAGGAGTGGGCTCCGGTTTTCCTAACGTCGGTCGCATCACTGGCAGCCTTCATCTTCTACCAGTCCCGTTTGCGGAGGTTCCCTACTGCAGGCCATATTCAGCCCGACCTATTCAGGAAACGAACGCTGCTAGGCCGAGTCACCAGTGTGGGAGATGGCGATAACTTCCACATGTTTCATACACCGGGAGGAAGGCTGGCAGGCTGGGATTGGCTGAGGAAGGTTCCCACAACCAAAACCGCACTGAAAGGGAAAACTGTATGTTTTATGAACTGATTCCGGAACCCAACGCTAAAGGTCAACGCAGATACCTGTACGGATGGCTGGAATCGACGCTCCTGAGGGCGCGCATTTTGGTCGACCGGGCCAACCCGGAGCCGCGGAAGCATTACAATGGCTAAGGAGTTACATCCTCGACAAACGCATTTGGGTTCGCATTCATAGGCGTGATCAGTATGACCGTGTCGTTGCGACAGTATATGTTAGACGATTTCTCTTCAAGAAAGATGTCGGCCTTGAAATGCTGAAGCTTGGCTTGGCAACGACATATGAGGCGAAGTCGGGGGTCGAGTGGGGAGGGGCTGAAGAGGCGTACAAAGCGGCAGAGGCCAAAGCTCAGAGTAAAAGGTTGGGTATATGGAATGGTGAAGCGAGCACATTTGAGAGCCCTAGGGCCTATAAGACGAGGACCAACGAGACAGAAGGCAAGAAGTCTGAATGGTTCTCTGGTTGGTCGTAAGATAGGTACTACCTGAGGCATATCTTTTCCAATTCAAACATAGCTGTCGCCATGAGAAACACCTGAACGAGCCGATTTAACTCATACTTGTGAGAACCCATATGAGATATCATAGGGAACCTGATGCATTGTAAACCAAGACCTGAGTGAGAAGGACATGGTTTACATGAGCTCGTTAGGGTGATATTACGTTTTGATGACTATATGCATAGGCACACGTCCTCGTTTTTGTGGTGCGGCTGCTGATTGGCTAGAGTCATCCTTGGCGGCGTGCTAGCGACCTCACCCCTGTGTTTGACCTGAACTTGGGCGTATCAGATTGCAGTATCCGTAGCTCCTAACCTCAATGAATACTCCTAACTTCTCAGAACATCTTGCCTATTTGGCATACACATCAATGAACAACAAAGATCAACTGACCCTGGCCCAAGACTTTCACACTGATTTGGTTTGTCTATACACACCCATCTGAAAAGGGAAAAAAAAGGTGCACAGTTTCAGGACCGTTGTCATCGGTCATCATCCGCCCAAGATGTCGCTTCAGGTGCGAGGCCCCGACTTCTCGGTTACGAAGCAGAAGGCCCTCGAAGATGCCAAAAAGATGCAGGCGGCGGTGGACGATGAGGTGGCAAAAGCTGGACAGGATAAGCCGCCTTATCTTCTCAATGAACTTATTGGCAAGGGAAGTTTTGGGCGCGTCTACAAAGCAACCGACATCAATACCAGCATGCTTGTTGCAGTAAAGATCATTGACATCGAAGAAAGCGACACCGTCAACCCCAAGCTTGCCGACACGTTCAAGGAGTTCTTGGCTGAAGTGAACGCCCTGAAGCTTCTCAGTGACAGCGGCGCAAAAAACATCAACCATGTCATCGACGCGTTACCTGTCGGCCAATCCATGTGGATGATCACCGAGTATTGCGCTGGAGGTAGTGTAGCGACGCTCATGAAGCCCACGGCGCCTGGCGGCTTGCAAGAGAAATGGATCATCCCTATTCTCAGGGAGGTCGCCGAAGCCGTGTCCTGGGTTCATCGTCAGGGAATTATCCACCGCGACATCAAGTGCGCCAATGTTCTGGTTACCGAGTCTGGCGGGGTACAGCTCTGCGATTTTGGAGTCGCTGGCGTTATTGAGACCAAGTTTGACAAACGATCAACGTTCATTGGAACACCTCACTGGATGGCACCAGAACTTTTCGACCAGTCGACGTCGTATGGTACAGAGGTTGACATCTGGGCATTTGGTTCTATGGTATTTGAAATTGCATCTGGCCTTCCGCCGAACGTTATGGCTGGAATCGACGTTTACCAGCTTGGAAACTATATCAAAGCGCACACGCCACGGCTTGAGGGCGACCAGTACTCCGACAGGCTGAAGAGCCTGGTTGCGTACTGCTTGGAGGAAGATCCGGCGAAACGGCCAACTATCGAAGAGGTTCAGAAACATCCTTATATCGCCAACACGGCCCAACAGTATCCGGCCTCGTCACTAGCCTTGTTGGTTAAAGGCTTCAAGCTTTGGGAGTCCCAAGGCGGTAGCCGCAAATCCCTTTTCGCTCCAGGTGGAGCCCAGGGCATGTCGGGCATGGACGACTCCGACTTTTCGTCTACGGCGATGGCGAATGACGAGTGGAATTTTAGCACAACAATGGCATTCGACCAACAGGTGTTTCAAAACTCAGATGCTCAGGCGGTCTACGATGTGTATGGCTCAAACGTGGATTTCGACCCAGTGCTTCTGGACGAGATGTCGCGAGCCAAGCCAAAGGCTCGGAGGAGACCGCCACCACAGCAGCTCGCCGCCATGAAGGCGCCTTTGGAGAAGGTGTTCGATCCGAATACGATATCCAACTATGAGGATAACTCCCGGGCCTATTATGGCAGGCCGATTCCCCCCCCCGCTTCAGATCTCCCCTTGCGAGACGACTCTCTTCAGTCGACGGCGGTGAGAGAATCGCTCATTGACCTCGATGCGTCATTGTCCGGCAGCGATCTCTCTAACTTTGTCGACATGAATACTATTAGAGCTGGTGGACCGCGTGCATCTGTTGATTATCATATGGGAGATGAGCCGGATTTCAACAAACCGCCTCTGAGCGACCCGGCGGATCTGAATCCGAACAGGAAGACGCAGGACTGGAAGTTTCCTTCCATGGCTCCGCCAGCATCGGCGAACCCAGAAATGTCTAGGTTCTCCTTTAACGAGGATCGACCATTAAACGAAGACCGTTCTTTTAGCGATGATCGTCCCTTCGTATTCCCTGCTCTCCAGGAGGACCGCCCAGCACCGAACTCCGCATCTCGCCCTCAGATGTTCCACAACCAGACTGATCCAGCCCCGGCCCCTAACTACGGCGGTGACCTCATGGTTCCCCGACCGAACTCGCAGTTGAACAACAGAGAATCCAGCGGCAGCCTGATCGACCTTGACGAGCTCATGGTTCCGCAAACCACCTACCAGAACAACCGCGTATCAACTGGCAGCCTGATCGATCTCGATATGGGCCTGGCCGACGCGATGCCGGAGCTTACCCGCCCTTCCACGGCGAACTCAGACGCTGCTTCTGTGAGCGGCTCAGATGTCGGCATGGCAAACCCATTCGATCTTGAACGCCACGCTTCGTTGTACGTCCCCATGACCAACCGGGAGCCGTCCATATATGTCCCCGCGTCAAATCGCGAACCGTCCATATATGTGCCATTATCAAACCGAGAACCCTCGATTTATGTTTCGGACGACTCCGACTTTGCTTCGAAGGTTCCCAGAGACGATGACGTGAGCGTTGTTGACCTCTCTATGGCTGAGCCTGGCGCCACCGTCCGACCTTTAAACGGCCAGGGCGGCCTGAGGTTGAACACGCACCGGTCGTTCAACAGCGTCAATAGCGCCGATTACTCAGATCCCGAGTACCTGACTCCTCAGCAAGCCGCCCAGCCGGTTCTCCCCCTGGGTGGCCCACGCTCAACGGGTACTCGTGAGAGTGGCATTCTCCCGTTGCCGCCACCACCTGCGCCCCCATCGGTGGAGGTAATGCAAGGTTCCGCCAGCGCAGATGCAGTAAAAGAAGAGCTGAGGCGAATGGCGATGAGTCTTGGCGAGCATCTTAGTCATGCCAACCAGTATCTCTCAACGCTGCCGGTGCGTAAGGGTGGAAGACAAGATTTTATGGGAGAGACAAACTGAAGGAATTTCAACGTACTGTTCGACTCTTGTTTATACATATGAAGCAGTACGACAGACAATATGGCTAGGAACCTCGCTTCTTGAGGAATGACGGCGTTCATGGGCATGGCCCACGGGAGAAGGACTTGTATTGCTATCATGACCTGGATGACAGACGGGGCACAAGGACAGTGTTTTCTTCATGCGGGGCAATAGTCACATACTGTTGTTTGGTAATGGCATCCGTTCCTTAAGACGGCAATATGTTTGTGCGACTATTCTATGAAAAACCGATCATATCACCTAACAGCAAGGCACGATACCTCTCCGTCGCTTCCTGCAATTTGACAAGCACCCCAGCAGAAAGCATCTTGACATCGTTCTCCTCCCCTCCGCCCTCGCCACGTGTGCCATTGAACACCCCACTGACCCATTCCTGCGTCTCGACGACTTCACGTGGATGCGTTTCGCACAAACGCCGCATGTCCGACGCCTCGTTGACCTCGAGCATAGCAGCCAACGCGACAAGCACCGCGTGTGTCCCAGGAATGTCCCCGTTGACATGGGCGCGCACGCCGAGGAGCAGATCCCAGAGCTCAGCCGTCATCTGTGGAAGTGCCAGCGTCGAGGGGCCTGCCGCGTGGATGAGAACAGCCAGTGTCTTAAGATAAAGAGAGAGAAGATACGGCTGGATGAAAATGCCAGAGCGGGCGGAGCGGGACCGCAGTGCATGTTGGAAGCGAGCAGTCAAAGGAAAAAAGTAAGACGTGGCAAGCATGGAGGCCGTTGTGTTGGGGATGGCGCGAACGCGAGGTTTCTTGGGGGTTTTGGATTGAAGGCGAGATGTGAAGGTCGAGAGCTTGAGGACATCGGGGCCCGTGGTCGCGTCTGCTGCGTTGGCAGCTATGGGGGCCAGGAAGGAAGAAATCAAGGAGCTGGCGATGGTGTCAAGGGCGTTGGTGGGAATGGCCTTGAGGCTCGATGAGGATGAAGGCTGATTTGATGCGGTATAGGGGTCAAGGTACAGCGCCTCCATTTTCTCGGGGAGACGCTTCGAGGGGAACGAAGCGGCGGCGGCGTGCTCAGACTTTTCGAACCCGGCGAGCTCACGGGCGCTAAGGCCAAGAACTATGAGAATCGAGGCACGCTGGGAGATGGAGTAATCGCCGTCGAAGAAGGTCTTTGCGAACCACTGGCCCATCTTCTGTGGCTGAGCGACAACGGTAGCAACCATGCCTTGGAGGCGAAGCTCGTTGAAGCCCTCAATCTCGAACTTGTCCTGCAGACCAACGAGAAGGGTTGCGAGCTCATCAATATGCGAAGAAACCTCGGTGCCGAAATTAGCCTTGCGGCGGATCAGGGGCGGAGCGGTAGTGAGGGCAAGTTTCTGTTTGTCGTAATTGTCTGTGTCGCGTAGATAGGCGATAAGGTCACGAATGTAGACGGGAGCTTTCGGCTTGTCGCGACGTACGAGCGTGGCGTCCTCGTCCGAATCTTCAGCATCGTCGACGGGTTTGGCGTAGGAAACGAGGTCTTCGTCTTCGCTCTCGGAGTCTGAGACTTCCTGGATGACGAACTTGGAGGGGGTGACTGTTTGCTTCGGCTTTGGCGCAGGCTCAGGGCGTTTCGGCTTCGTTGCCAACTGCCGCGTCTTCTCTACCGCCTTTGGTGTGGTGATCAAGGTTTCGATGGATCCTATGTTGTCCAAAGTCCTGACGAGGTTTTTGTAGAACCTGGCTTCCTCAGTTTCCATCTCTTCCATCTTGAAATCTAATTTCTTGTCTCCACCATCGATGAGGCCAGAAAGTGCTTCGCCTACTGCCATACCCAGAAATCTGGCTTTCTCTTGCGAGGCGCCGATTCTGTTAGATACCATGTTCAGATAACCCGAAGACCGCATCAGCATCTTGAGCTTCAGGGGCGACAATCTGTTGACGTAGCTAGCGCTCAGAAGCAGGACCTGGGCATGAGCTGTGAATTTTGCTTAGCACATGGCCAGACATTGAGAAGAACAAACAGGACCTTACCTTGCTGCTGCATCATTGGAGAGTGCTTGATGTAGAGTTGGTCTCCAAATTGGTAAAGGCTCTTCTCAAAGACGAGAGCAGCACATTCCTTGTCTTGTGCGAGTGCAGCTAAGACCGCACGCCTGATCCCAACACCGTCACCGAGGCCAGCACCGGTTGAGCTAGTTAGCCAGGAAACCAGATGGGCTTTCCGGCTTTCATCGTTAGAAACTATCTTCTCAATGACACCCGCAGCGGCGGATATAGCCACATTGGGCTCCAATGCCTCCGCATCGTCCAGCTTGTTGAGGAACGCTTCGGGTAAATACTGCAAAGCAGAAAATATCACCCTCTTCTGTTCGAGCTGGGAGAATTGACCGAAAACTTTGAAGAAGGCATTGCGGTTTTCTTCCGGACCGAGCAGCATGTCGCTGATGAGCTGCTTCATTAGACCGTCTGAAAGAACGTTAACGATTCTGTTTGAGATCGGATGACTTGATGACTTGAGAGAACAGAAACTTACCAGAGTAGCCCAGGCGAAGAGACCGCGTAAACAAATCAGAGCAGAGCTTGACATCATTGGATGAAATGTCACTTTTCGCCCAGTATGTTATGCTCCTGCCCAACCACTTGCTGTAATCCTGTCCATTTGCGATCCAGAGGTTGTTCTTGTTGATCCTATCTGCATTAGCGATGGCATCGGCCTCGGCTGCAACTGAAATGAGTCTTCCACCTGCAATCAGTGCCGTAAACTCATGCGCCATCGGTCTCCTTTCAACCATAGAGCTTAGTCCTGAGCTGCTTGCAGTCCACAGCATAGCGAGGTGCTCATGCTTGCCCAGCACCGTCGAGCAAACCTCGAGCAAGACACCTAGACTGAGTGCCAGATCCGACCGTTTCACGTCTTGGGCGACAGCTTTAGATTCCTGGATCAATGCTTTCATGCGCGTGATGACGGCGTTGAGGCCCGTGACATTCCTCAGACATTTCAGCAGCAACTCAAGGCCCCTTGGGCTATCGGTGTCTTGGGTACTCGAGTTCCCAAGAGCCTCCTCCTTGAGTAGGGGCCAATAGTTGGGAATGATTTCCACAACCAAGCATTGGATAATCTGCGCGGCCTCGGGGCTCGGCGATGCTACGTTGAAGCCTGCGGCGGCAATCGTGCCATGGTCGAGAGAACTGAGAACAGCTGTGAGGCTGTCATAATCCGGCTGGTTCTTCAGGGTTTCCAGAGCATCTCCAACGGTGGCTATGTTGGAATCTTGTTGTGCGATTTGTGCGGGCTTCTTGCTCGGGTTCAATTCTTGCGAAAGAGGTTCCTCGGGTCTTGCTTTCAAGTAGGTCTTGCTGACTGGAGTAAAGAAGTCATCCATTGTGCTGAGTACAGTGTTGAGAAATAAACGACGGTATGGGCATGTTACTAAGGAGAAACCGGTAGAATGTATTCCCTAGCGTGCAGGCAGCGTATAGAGAACGATGTTGGTGATGATTATCTAGAGTTTCCTCTACCTTCGTACCCAACACCAGATAATAATTAGGAACCCAACTGTTTCCTCCCTGAACCCAGGCACCTCAGGTTGAAAATATAGTGACAACACTGTGACTGACGTATTTCGGTTCACCCTACCATCTTACAAACACCCCTGCTATAGCGCCCCCACCTATCGATAAGACTTTGATGGCATCTACCGTGCACAGACGCAGCTCCCAGGCATCTTAGGGGCATTTCATCATATCGGCCCCTCCACCTACCGAAGCTCGGCTTCACCAAGAACACGACCCGAGCGGTTGATTGATTGTCCCTTCTCAACCACCTTATTTGCAGCCTAGGTAGTCAACTTGATACTTCCAAACATGGCTACTGAAGCTGCTGCTCCAACTGCAACTGGGACTGGACTGACTGCTGTTGTTGACGAAGGAAAGCGATGGTGAGTCCCCCCAGCCGCCGCCTTCAACACCCCAAATGGCTTTGTTGTATCCATGTGCTGATCCTGTCGTGAATCAGGACCTACCTCGACAACATTCGCAAGAGTCCAGGCCCTTTCAGCGATCCTGATTTCGCCGGAACAGAGGAAGCTTTCGAGCAGTTTGACAAGATCAAAGTCTTGTGAGTTGAGGAATAACCTAGTTCTTTATGCCTGCTTGCTGACAATGATTCGACAGGGTCATGTGCGTGAACCCTTCCTTGACTAGAAAACGGTACAACTGACATTTACCAAGCGGTGCTGGTGGGCTAGGGTGCGAGATTCTGAAGAACCTAGCTATGTCCAAGTTCAAGGACATACATGTCATCGATATGGGTAAACATTGGTCTGCTTCCAGTGCGATAGCCTGGGCTAATGGCTGAATCAGACACCATCGATATTTCGAATCTCAACCGGCAATTTCTATTTAGAAAGTCCGACGTGGGCAAGTCCAAGGCCGAGGTCGCGGCCCAGTTCGTTATGCGCCGTGTTAAAGGCGTTAAGATCACAGCCCACAACTGCGCCATCCAGGATTTCGACCATGACTTCTACAAGCAGTTCCAGTTCGTCGTTTGTGGCTTGGACAGCATTGAAGCACGGAGATGGATCAATGCAACGCTTGTTCAAATCGCCGAGGAGGGTGAGGACCCCGACTCCCTGATTCCCATGATAGACGGAGGTACAGAGGGCTTCAAGGGACAAGCTCGAGTTATTGTGCCCTCAATCACTTCTTGCATCGAGTGCCAATTGGACATGCATGCGCCACGAGCCGCTGTTCCCCTCTGTACTATCGCCTCTATCCCACGCCAACCCGAACACTGTATAGAGTGGGCGCATGTTATCGCCTGGGAAAAGGAGAAACCGTTCCCTCAACTGGACAAAGACGACTCTACCCATGTGTCTTGGCTCTATCAGAAGGCCCTTGCCCGTGCTCAAGAGTTCAATATCACGGGCGTGACGTACGCTCTCACACAGGGGGTCATCAAGAACATTATCCCCGCCATCGCGTCCACAAACGCCATCATCGCAGCAGCATGCTGCAATGAAGCTTTCAAGCTTGCCAGCTCGGCTGCACCGACGCTCGGAATGGAAGAAAACTACATGATGTACTCTGGTAACGACAGCATCTACACCTACACCTTCAAGCACGAAAAGAAGGACGACTGCCCTGTATGTGGACAACGGTCGCGGCCTCTGGAGGTCGACCCCAAGACTACATTACAGGATCTCCTGGACTCATTCGCCGTCCGTCCAGAGGCCCAGCTGAAGAGGCCATCCATCAGAGCCGACAACAAAACTCTGTACATGCAGTCCCCGCCCAGCTTGGAAGAGCAGACACGGCCCAACCTTGATAAAACAATCGAGGAGCTCGAGTTGGAAGACGGGCAGAATGTTCTCGTCACGGACCCTGCGTTTCCTCTCCAGTTCAACTTCTATCTGCGGTTCAAGACGACGGTATAAGACGAACTCGAGCTTCATGACTAATGGTGGATGATAACGACAGCATGTTTTGCCGTAGACGTAGCAAAAGGAGAGCGAGTGAAAGCATGACCGCGCAGTTAGAGGCAAGATAGAAGGATAAAAACCATTGTCGTGATTAACTTTTTTCTTGCCATTGCCAGCCAACCCTTGCAAAACAGAAATGACGGGATATCTATAGGTATGGTACATGTGCAGTGGAGCTTCATCTAACCATGTTGATGACCTGCTGCTCAAGACGGATACACCTCGTCTTGAACTGCTTAACTGACTCCAAAAACAATTCATCGCTGTCCCACTGTCCCGTGCTCTCGATGGAGAAAATGAAGTGGTCCCGTACCCGGCCTAGCTTGACCTTGCCCTCAAACTCGGGGTGGCGCAAGCACTCGCGACTGACTGTATCCTTCATAGCGTCCTTGACGACAGCCTTCTTTTCACCTTCGTGCCCCTCATATCCGCTACCAGCGACAGCAGCGTCCTTCTTTGTGACCTTGTCGATGCCGATGACGCCCTCGGGGAAGCACTTGGCAAATTTCTCGGCGTCCTGGCCCAGAATCGGTCGCGTGATGTTGATGGTGGGCATGAGACGATACGAGGCGGTGGCGACAGGCGAAAACTTTGCGTGGTCGGCGCCGATGCCCTTGTGCATGTGCATGTCGAGCTCGATGCACTGGCCGGGCCGCAGCTTAGCGACGAGGATGTCCGGGTTGACAGGGCGAATGGCATCCTCGCCAGAGAAAAACTCGAGCTGGCGGCCGGTAGGTACGAACTCAATATCCTTGGCGTAGACGCTCGAGTTGAGGAAGGCCTTGTTCGGGTCGGTCTCGCCAGGAGCGGCGTCTGGGTTACGGGTGCACTCCACACGCAGGCGCAGCTGGACGGTGTTGTAATCGAAGGAGCCCTTGCCGCCATGCTCGGGCTTGCGGTACCACTTGAGAAACTTGTGGATACCCTCAGGGTTGCCGGTAAAGGGGATGAGTCCGAGGCGGTGGGCCAGGACCTCGTCCTGTATGACAGAGGTGTTGTTCTCGATATAGACGTTCTCGATGGCGATGGTCGGGATCTCGGCGATGAGAATGCGGCGGAAGGCGTTGGCGATGGAGGCGTCGACGCCAATGAGGGAGAAGGATGCCTCGTGTTGGGCGTTGTAGTGGAACTGAACGCGGAAGTTTGAGGCGAAGCGGTCAAGATCCCAAGCGTGGTCCTCGCCGGCGTAGGTGCCCGGGTAATCGGTTGAGTTCACATCGGTAACGGTTTCCTTGTTGATGCCGACTATCTGGGACGCAGCCTCGTCAGTACTCAGTGCTCAATCGCATCCACTGTGGCTTCTTTCACTTACCCTCCGCCGGTCCAGCTCGGCCTGGCTGGGTGTTGAAGAGGGTGCCATTGTGGGGGGTTTTGTGATCTGGCTGGCAATTGCAAAAGATGCGATCGCGATATGGACGGGAAATATTTTTTTGAAGGACCCCTCTATCTAACACCGAGACTATGCGGCTTATGTGCACGCCCGAGCGCTATCGGCACGCCCGTCATGCCCAGTGGGGTTCGGACGCTTCTGATTCTGATGCACACACCAAAACTCGTTACCATCAGGTTACTCGATTGCAAGCTACGGCGACATCGTCGCAACTTTTTGGGCCAGGTACTATCTTGGGTTTTTCCGCCGTGGTAGCATAACGTGATTTCTGATCTTGCTTCCATTGTCAGTCTAAGTCGAGGCGCAAGCTAGCTCATCCGACACGGCCCCGACGACGTTCGTCAGTCTGATGTACTTCTGCCGAGATCATTTTTCGTAGAGCCTTGTCTGTGAAATGATACAGATGGCAGGGTTGATGTGGCTCCGAATCCATGAAGACTTGTACGCAGTCGCTCACAGAGCGATTGCAGAGACGAGAGGGTACAGCATGGCTGTTTGGTAAAGGGGAATGGTGAGATGGAGTCAAGACCGTGCGTCAACCAGCTTTCTCGGGCTTTTGCCCACCACGCTACCTGCCCACCCGCCTAAGGAAGGAGCGAGGAGCCGGAAGCTGAGTTCTTGCCATCCCATCACACGCCGTTCTATTTTATCAGATGCTGCATAACTAAAGGAAGTTGGAGTAAACAACTAGGTGGGTATTGAAGGCAGGAGCGGCCCTACCTAGTGCTCATACCTACCATACTTTTTCTTGCGAAGGTCGCTCCTGCTTCTGAACCTCGAAGGTTGCCAGACTCTATATTTCTTCACCTTACTCACTCCATCCGCTCGCTGAACTCGCCATAGCACTGGTTATACCAATTTGTGTTTACATCCTTGAAGTGATCGCAACGAGACAATATTGTTCTTACCCACACAATATATCTATTTCTGACACCAGAAGGCTCCGTTTTTCAGACGAGGAGAAGCCTCTGACACCTTTGAACTATACTGTGTAAGTCACAAATATTGATATTGTTCAATAGCAAACGGTGTGTGTCTGTGTGCACTCCTTTTTCTGTCCAAAACTCTCGTTTCTAACCTCCCTTTGTTTGGTCTTTAGAAAACGCACCTGATGCCCTTTACGGAGAGCTGGCACTTATGTAAATGGTGGTGAGCACAAATGTACTGGTATCCCCGTGGCGATGCAAGGTTCTGTATGCGGATGGCCCTCGCCCTCATTCTGCAGTGACTGCAGCAGCACATCAGCCAAAAATGCCAGGCTCGTCTCACTCCAAAACAGCTGTCGAGACTAGTTGGAACCTTTTCTCCTCCTCCTTGTCCATTATATTCCTTTCATTGTACATTGTTCTAACATTGCATAGACCTTCCCCTACCCCACCAACACTGAGATACGGTCTACCAACACCCCCAAGTCTGCCCTTATACTTCCAATGTCGAGAAAGAAACTGGGCGGCAAGCAGACCGCTCCCCTCAGCTCGCCGGGTGACAATAACAGTCGCAGAGGTCGTATCTCTGCCCTATTCGGTCGCGGGCCAGATGATTCTGGGGATACCGCTCGGTACTCGGTAGCCTCGGGGAAGGAGGAAGAACCCATCAAGAATGGCTTCACCAATTCAACTGAGCAAGACTCTCAGAATAAGACGTCTGCCAACACTTACATGGACGACCACATCAATGAGGTGGCTCGAGATCTGAACTCTGCTGTGGTTGACGTCACCCAGAAAGTCATTCCGAGTTTTTTGATCCCGAGTCGGGTTACAAAGTCGCCCATTCATCGTCACAAGAGAGCCTCGAGCTCCTACAAAATTGTGGACAAAAATACTGCAGATGCCGTTCTTCTTCCCGCTGTGCCTTATACCCCATCGTCTGATGAGAATCGCGACCGCATCTACAGCAAGAACCACGCCAGTGCAAAAGGCAATGCGCAAGCGGGTCTTTCCAACCAGCCGCCCATGGCAAATCAAAAGGCATTCGAGGAAGTTCAACTCCTGGCGTCGACCACTTACGGTACGCCCGGTTTGCCCAACAGCAACAAGATGAAGGTGTTTCGTTCTGACAAAAACATAGATAAGAATCCCCATCTGCTGCCGTCGACCAACTACAACTCACCAGAGGCCATGTGCAGCATTCCAGAGGCCTTACGAAACAGCGCCTTGTTGACTGAGAAAATTTCTCCTCTGCCTTCCACCCCTCGTGTTGAGTCTGACCTCATTTCTAAGATTCCCCAAACCGATATAGCGCCTGCTGAAGGAAACCACTCCCCATCTTCGACCTCTCTCGTGACTTCCACCCCCTTACATGGTGTACTCAAAGTTACTGCGTCTGACACAATTCCATCTGATAAGAAAGTCCGATTTGCTGTTGCTCCGTTTAGCAAAGCCGCCAAGGCTGAAGACAGCAGCGGAGACTCAAATGACGCCAATCAGACCTTCAAACAGGACATTGATGATGTGAAAGTGGCACCCGAGTCCATTTTATCTCCCGTCATATGGGACAAAGGATTCGAGCCCAAAATTTGGCTCAAGGATGGCAAGCCTACACTCTTCAAGCCTAAGAAGGAGCCTGATTATTACACCAACCCTCTCTGGTCTCGCCAGTATCCCGAAATATTCTCCAACGAACTGCGTGTGGTCCCCCAAGCTGCAGGTTACGCCGAGAGTGCTACCTCTACAGATGGCAGTCAGTACCACAAAACTTCTGCTTCCAGTTCGAACGCCAATTTCCAGATGGGTAACACCTTCCCCATGAACACCGAGTCCAACGCAGACATGAGCTTCGACGCGGGTACCTCGACCCGTCTCGCTACGTCCACGGTTACACAGGGAGGCTCGAACACTTTGCCAACTCCTGCCAGTCATACATTTTTCGGCCAAGAATTTCCAGAGGACACCAATGCTCCGCCTGACTTCGCTCAAACTCCTCGCTACAGAAGCCAGGTCAAGATTGAGGTTGGCGGTCGTCGCTTCGTTACCACCTTTGAAGTACTTGAGAAGAGCCCCTGGTTCAGAAATTTATTCTCTATTGATTTCCGCAACTGGTATCACGACGGTGTTTTTCACATTGACAACGACGGCGATCTCTTCGCCCATATTCTTCGTTACTTGCGAACGGGCCTTTATCCCCTCTTCTGGGATTCGCGCAATGGCTTCGACTACCCCATGTACGCGATGATCAAGCAGCAGGCACACCATTACATGCTCCACGATCTTGAGGTATGGATCGTTGCCCAGAAGTTTCACGACGTTGTGGAGACACAAGTGATTCATCAGAAGGTGCTCATCCCTCATAATCAGGAGTGGATTCACGAGCAGCGTCTGATAGGCAATCACTCTTACGTGATCTCCGGCGTCGCCGACCACGCGAACCCTAGCAGCCATTTGGAAAATGGCATCGACACACTGAGTGCTGACATCGGCAGCGCCGTTGTGCTGTTCACCGCTGAGAAGATTGTCAAGGTCGATATGGATCAGTTGCGCCGAGTCTGATTCGCAGGCTGCGTTGGCCATTTTTCTTTTGCGTTTTGATTCAGCTAGGATTACGCATATCTTCAGGTAGAGATATGATCCTTGGGTTTCCCATGAGAACTCCTCTGTCTTCAGAAATCCGCAAGGGCGAGGGACAGATGCGACCTCGGGTTTGCTGACGAGGACTACGTTTTCGGGCTTTGGGTAGTTGGCATGGTGAGGGGTGGGCGCGACCTGGGTCTTTCCATCGGGATTCTGGCTTTTTGAATCTGGAGACCTGGACACATGGGTCGGTTCTACTTGTATTCATTAGCACTCTACTTGTTTAATCTGGGATCACACATCCGCATATAAAGTTGGATGTTGGCTCTCAGAAGACCCTCCTCACTGGATTAAATCCGGCATGCTGAGATAAATGGTTGCTGGTCATTTGGCAGTTCTGCTCATGAAAAGTGATGTAACGAAGCCACAGCTACAACGAATATCGGATTCAGTTCCACCGATCAGGATGCCCGTGTCTCTAGTCTTCGCTGTTGTCAATGCAAACTGGTTGCGAGCCACCACTTGCAGTACCTTCGATGGTGAGTAGGCGGTGTTGTCAAGCCAGACCGGATCCGAAGTTTCATACGGCAGCGGTGTTATTTCGCAGAGCTAGGTAGGGAAACAAAGCCACCGGCTCTCCGTATCCGCATTCGCATACGGGTCCGGCATGCCAGCCCCGACCGGACCGTGCCGCTCCACCGATTCCGTAGTCGACAGCGACATGATTGAATTATCTGCCGCTGCCAAACCTCCCCTGTCGTACTAAGTTGCCGTCAATTAATGCATTGAATGCATGAGGCGCGGGAAGTTGGATAGAGTTTCCAAAGCCAGACGCCAGGCCATTAGAGACCTTCCTCGCGATGCATGGTTCCCGATGCATGCTTCGCGCAGCACCGCTTATCCTTTTTCGTTCTTTTGCTCTTCATCTGATCTCTGCCTCTCCGGAATGTGGAGAGAAATAGGTATTGCCTCCAAGCTTAGGAGAACATACGCGGAAATCCATCGTCATCCACTGCACTGCGTACACCGTGTTCGGATCTGTGGAAAGCAATTGGCAGGACTCCACATCTGACACGTCAAGTGTATCACATGCAACTTCCCCATACCACGAAGTTTGAGGACAACCCGAGTCGCCTATGTCTTTAATTTGAGTTTCTTTGTTTGGACCTGTTCGGCATAGCGTCGGTCATAGTTTTGCACAACATAACTACTTTAGATAAATCATCAACGTTGTGTTTTTTGAGTCTTTCAACGCTCACCAATTTCCATTCAAGACAACATATTGCAGACTGCAGCAACTGCTACTCATTTATCGGGTTTCCAGACAATTGACGTCGCCAAAATGTTGAACACCACAGTAACCCTGACACACGCCACCCCGCTGCCTGCAGGCATGTCGCGCGAGGACGCCATCGCCCTCATCCACGACGCCGAGCACCACATCCAGTGTGACCCCAACATGAAGAACTACACCAAGCGCACGCCCGAAATTCCGCCTACGGTGCCCAAGGACATCGAGCCCATCGCCTCCACGCAGTGCTACACCGTCACCGACACCGTGCCGACTCTCCTGCCAAAGGGCATCTGGGACAGCGACGCCGTCAGTGACTACGACTTTACCTTTGTCAAGGACGGCAGCTTCGTCCGCACGAGCTGTCCACTCAACGTCGTGCTGGAGACCCGCTGGCGCGTCAAGGACGCCAGCGGTGGTGGGCTGGAGTTGGAGGAGGTCGTTGAGGTCAAGTGTTCACGGTTTTTGGCGAGCGTTGTCAAGGGGCAGTGCGAGGCGAACTGGAGGGATTTTCACAAGAAGATTTTGGCGGGCAAGGCGTCATGAGCCAAAAAAGAATTGAATTGGGAACGACACGAGCATCAGAATTATCCAGCAAGATTGGGGCAAGTAGATAAAAGACGCGCGTACGCCACGACTAGACTCATTTTTGAACACTGTCCCGGTCGAGACGATGCACTTTTTCATATAGTAACATGCAGACGAAGCCTCACATGAGACTGCTTCGCCCTCCAATTTCCATGCTGCCTTGGCCATCCTTCATCTCACCACTTCGACCTACAACGAATTCGTGATAAATCCTGCGCAGTCTCGCCCGTTCCTGTGCGCTAATACTGGACCTCGTATTGTCGAGTGCCTTCATCACATGCTCCAGTTTCACAACAACCTCTTTGTCGTTCTCCAGCTTGGCTTCCCCGTCGGGGCGCTGAGAATGCTTCACCCTCTTTCGAGCCAGCCTGATGCTCTCTAGTTTGGCGAGGATGGCTGCATTCTCGACTAGCTCTGCCTGTCGGCTGATGGGCTTACTGGCCGGCGTAGAGTGTTGGCCGTAACGGAACTGCACAAAGCTGGGAACGGAGCCTTGAGACGGAGAGGATTTCCCATTGACCTTGCCATTCGCCGTGGAGGCATGGTTGGCATCGCCCAAGACGTCATGGATCGCCTCCAGTTGTGAATTGGACACGAGAGCTTGAAGGTCCGCTCCAGAAAACCCCTCAGTCTTCTGGGCAATATCGGTCCATGCGTCATCGGACTCGGTCAGCTCCTCGCCGAGCTTGACCTTGCTAGAAAGCGATTTCAGAATGTCGATACGATCTTCCAACATAGGCATGTCGCAAAGCAGAGACTTGTCCAAACGTCCAGGACGAAGCAAAGCAGGATCGATCAGGTCTGGACGAGACGTCGCCGCAAGCACGTATACTCCCGAAAGACCTTCCGCGCCATCCATCTGCGTAAGCAACTGGTTCACAACTCTGTCCGTGACACCGGTGGAGTCATGCCCACGCTTGGGAGCGATAGAGTCAAATTCGTCGAAGAAAAGAACGCAAGGCTTCGCAGCAGACGCGCGCTCGAAGAGGTCGCGTACACTCTTTTCCGATGCGCCAATGTACTTGTTGAGGATTTCAGGTCCCTTGACGCTGATAAAGTTGAGCCCGCATTCTCCAGCAACAGCACTTGCCAGCAACGTCTTGCCGCAGCCGGGATAACCGTATAGTAACAGCCCAGAACGCAGTCGGAGCGGACATTGCTCAAAAATAGGTGCGTACTTGGTTGGGTACTGCAGAGTCTCCAAAAGAACTTTGCGAGTTTCCTGCAGGCCGCCGATAGAGCTAAACGTGGTGGTCGAGTGCTGCAAGGAAACATTCCTCAGGGAGGCCGGCGTGAAGCCCTTGAGAGCGTTGTCGAAATCTACGCGGCTGAAGTGTACTGCACCGCTACTTTCGGCGGAAGCACTATTCACCGACCTAATGATAGCTTCGTTCCGCGCCCTTGCCACTAGGAGGCTGATATCGCCCGGCATATAGCCATCCGTAAGGCCAGCAATATCGAGGAAATCCAAATCTGGATCCAGGACGAATCCGCCAGTGACAGAAGTGCGGTTTTCTTGGCTGCCTTGACTGCCGGCATCCATCCATGCGCTGTCCTCTCCTGCAGCGCTTCTGTCAGCTGTAGTAGGACGACTGCCATTCCGAGATGCCTGTGGCAAATCCCCAGGAACAACGGCGCCTTGTCCGACAATGCTCTCCATAACCTTGCGTCTTGCTTCTTTGTTTGGTGCCTTCAGATCCACAATCTCACGGACTACATGTCCTCCGATAATGACATTATTAAGAGAGTCTTTGCCTTCTGCGGTCGCCAGCAAAACAACACCTGTCTCGACCTGGCAGTATTGGCGGACAATAGACCCGACGATTTCACTGATTTGGCGACTTCTTCCATTATCGTTGCCGACTTGCAATTCCGTTTCCACGGGACACAATTTATCCAGATCATCCAAAACCACAAGCGCCTTCCCTCCCAACCTGGCGCCCCAACTTGCTGACATAAATACTTGGTTCAAAGTATCCTTTATAGTTGCGATTCGTGTTTCGTCGTTCACTAGTTTCCGGCATGGGAAGTAAGTAGTATGGAAGAGTAGGTCTTTCCCGAGCTCATGAGCTAAAGACCGTGCAACAGCAGTCTTGCCAGAGCCCAGCGCACCAGTAAGGAGGGCTGAAGAAAGGTGCGAAAGATGGCTTCGAAGATCTTGCAGCAATTTGTCAATGCCGACGAGCCGACTCTCGTAGTGTGGTTGAAGCTCGGCAATACCGTCGTCGTTCAAGAACGATGGTCGTGGAACTGGATCTCGGATATCGACGGGAACCTTCTCGCTCAGTCCCAATACCCACCTAGTCGATGATCTCAGGGGGTCGCTGTTGATGGCTGGTGGGTCAAATTTGATGATACCTCCCTCCCAACCCTGAGGAGCCTCCAAACCTTCAAAAGTCCCAAGCACCGAGCCATCTGTCAGGGGCCCGGTGAGAAGAGAGGAAGAATCTTTGCGACCACCGTATATTTGCTTGAATTGTTTCGAAGCCTCTTCCTTCCCGGCCTTGGATTCACCGCCAAACTTCAAACCCCCAGACGACTTCTTCGAGGCGGCAAACGGTTGGATGATCAACTTTTGCACCGCATCCAAAGGCCATTGCTGGGGCGCTGGCTCGATCTTTACAACACCGCCAACAGATGCCGTGAATCCTAGTGTTGAACACAGTGCTGGTGAGATTGCTATCGTTTTGCTATCCGGGGGGTCGTCCCAAGCCTTTAGATTGGCAACGACCTTTGTGGCTACCTTGGACGTGCTGACTGACTGTTCAACATCTTGCTGGGGCTTCTGCGTGGAGCTTGTTTGTTGTGCAGGTCGCAAGATATTTACCGACACGTAGTTGACGCCCCTGAAGTCTTTGGTATACAAAATATCGCGGTCCACCCAGACGCTAAAATCATGAGTAGTTAAGTCCTCATCGAACCACTCTGTGCAAGCTGAGTAAGCGACTCCGCGCAGACACAAGGCAGGCTTGCGCTCCTCGCGCGCACTTCGTCGCCGGACTGTACTAGCGCTGCTGCGTTTGGACTTGGAAGTGCTTGCTACACTACGGTTCTCTCCCAAAGAATGCGACGTCTTGGCCCGAACTTTGGGTGCAACAATGACCTCAGCATCAGGAGAGATCTTGACGAAAGGGACATCGGCCGCCGGTGCAGGGTCGAGGGAGACAACCCGAACGTTAGCTGTCGATGTCGGCGAGAGGTGTAACGTTAAGGCGTGAGGAGGAACCAGCGAGCCCGAGCTCGAGGTGAAAGCAGGATTCGGCAACGCTCGTACCTGAGATAAGAGATTGAGTTCGAGGAAGGTGGCGTGTAGTTCAATCATCTCCCAGTCTTCCGGCGTAAGCGGCTCAATGTTGATTGTATGCGCGACGGGCGGGTCGACGTGTATTGAGGCTGTGATCTTTTGTCCATCCGTAAGACCCAATGTATTAGCCAGCGTCGCGTCGAGCTCGACTTGAGCAAATTCTTGATCGCGTGAAGAAGTGCCGCCCCTCCCACCGTTGATGCCTTCGCGTCCGACTATGGGTGCAACTTTGCGCTTGCTTGGCATACCTGTCCATCCGACAAAGATGGACCGTTGTTGGGATGTGCCAGATCCGGATACGCTCGTGGAAGGGCGATAGCTGAGTTCGACGACGACATTTTGCGCTGGCTACAGATAGGTACGTTAGGCCCGCGCATCCAATAAATCATAAGACCAATGACTTACAGTGTTGAGGTTGACGAGGAGCGAAACTAAGGATGCGGGGAGATTGACCAGGCAGTTTTTGAGATGAGCGAGAGAGATCTCCGCCGGAGTCGACTGCGCATTGCGCCTAGAAGCCATAACTTCAATTGACCTGTCGGCAGTTCGTAGAGGAGTTGAAAGAAGAAAGTTTTGGGCCTGAGGGTGTGTAATGGGCAACGTCTGTAAGTGTCGCTGCGGAGGGGAACCAGAGCTCGAGTTATTGGACCTGGAGATGGGAGTTCAGCCGAAAGTGTGACCCTAGCATGTGCCGACGCCGAGGCATTCCCGGCATGGGAAACAACCTCCTGGACCCGGACACAGGGCAGCTGCAGGAGTACACAGTACGTACCTATGTTGGTGAATAACTACAGGGGGGTTGATAGCTTGGAGCTATTGTGGCTGAGAATCAATTAACTACTGTGGCTTGGAGACGCGTCGTTTGAGCGCGACTCTTTCGCGTCAGTTGTGTCGTCCGGCCAATTTCTCAACCCCTGGTCGCATTGTTCTTACACTCGATTCTTCCCAACCCCCCACCCGGCGCCAAATAATCTTCAGTTTGGTAGTTGCACAACCGGACAGATACCTAGCACGATTCCCCGCCGCCATCGCAAACACGAACCATACTGAATAAAAGGCTACATTGTCTTCCGGCGCTTGGAATTGTCACTGTGGACTGAAGAAAGCCTCACTCCCGAGTCCATATAGATTCTGTCAAGATGGCGCTTCGTCAGTTCAAAGCGCCAGTAGCGTATGAAGCGCAGCAGGGTGCGTTCAACTCCCGTCAACCCTCTTGCGCATCACCATTGCAACCGACTGCTAACATGCGATAGCTGCACTGGAATCCTTCCTTCAAGAGTTCAAGGCTTCGCCTGAGCAGACGATTTCGCATGCGCTCGGAAACATCACGATAGACGAGGATGACTTTAGTGATGATGATCTGATGGAGGATGACGAGACCCGCGAGACCCGTCGCCAAGCCAAGAGCCCGCCGGGGCCAAAGTACAAGGTCATGCTGCAGCAGCTGGCTGACCGCAAGATCGACGAGGTTATGATTGATTTGGACGACTTGGCCAGTGTGAGTTGTTCTCCTGTGCCTCCCCGTCTGCTAATCGAGGCTGACACGCTCTTGTACAGTTTGAAGCATCATTTGGTGATGAGTTACAGCTGGTCCAGTCCATCGAGACGAACACAAAGCACTACGTCGAAATAATGTCCAGGGCAGTTGACAAACTTCTGCCCAAGCCCAGCGTTGATACGAAGTATGGCTCGGTGGAGCGCCCCTTTCATCAAACACTCTCTAACATCTGTGCAGCTTCAAGGATGATGTACTGGACGTTTTAATGGAACGGAGAACTAGAAGGAACGAGGCTTTGCAAAGAACCGCCACTGAGCCGGTTGACGGCCAGCTTCCCGACCCGACGGCAGCCGAGGACAAGTTCCCCGCGGAGCTCACTCGCAGATATACCCTTGCCTTCAAGCCGCGATCCGAGACTTCCACTCATCCTGTCAAGGCCCTTGCCGTGCGAGAGGTTAAGGGTGAGAACCTCGGCCACCTGATCACCATCCGCGCTATTGCCACGCGCGTCTCAGACGTCAAGCCCATCGTCCAAGTCAGCGCCTACACCTGCGACCGATGCGGTTGCGAAATCTTTCAGCCAGTCAACGACAAGTCATACGGCCCCTTGGACATGTGCCCTTCTGAGGACTGCAAGAAGAACCAGGCCAAGGGCCAACTTCACCCTTCCTCCAGAGCCTCCAAGTTTCTGCCCTTCCAGGAAGTTAAGGTCCAGGAACTTGCGGAGCAAGTCCCCATTGGTCAAATCCCCCGCACACTCACCATCTTGTGCTACGGTACCTCTGTCCGTAAAGTCAACCCCGGCGACGTCGTCGACGTTTCCGGAATTTTTCTCCCCACACCCTACACTGGCTTCAAGGCAATGAAGGCCGGCCTTCTTACCGACACGTACCTGGAGGCACATTACATCGTTCAGCACAAGAAGGCTTACTCAGAGATGATCATCGACCCTGCCCTGGTGCGCCGTATCGACCAATACAGACAGTCTGGTCAGGTGTACGAGCTCCTCGCGAAGTCCATCGCCCCTGAAATCTTCGGTCACCTTGATGTGAAGAAGGCCTTACTCCTTCTGCTCATCGGTGGTGTGACAAAGGAGGTCAAGGACGGCATGAAGATTCGTGGTGACATCAACATCTGCCTGATGGGTGACCCCGGTGTAGCCAAGTCGCAGCTCCTCAAGTACATCTCCAAGGTCGCTCCCCGCGGTGTATACACTTCTGGTCGTGGTTCCAGTGGTGTCGGTCTCACCGCCGCTGTCATGCGCGACCCTGTCACCGATGAGATGGTCCTCGAGGGCGGTGCTCTCGTTCTCGCTGACAACGGCATCTGCTGTATCGATGAGTTCGATAAAATGGACGACAATGACCGTACTGCCATTCATGAGGTCATGGAGCAACAGACCATCTCTATCTCCAAAGCCGGCATCTCCACGACCCTCAACGCACGCACCTCCATCCTTGCCGCTGCTAACCCCATCTACGGCCGCTACAACCCTCGTATCTCCCCCGTCGAGAACATCAACCTCCCCGCCGCCCTCCTCTCCCGTTTCGATATCCTGTTCCTCCTTCTCGACACTCCGTCCCGCGAATCCGACGCCCAGCTTGCGAAGCACGTCGCCTATGTTCACATGCACCAACGCCACCCCGATATCGGCACCGACTCGGTCGTCTTCTCCCCTCACGAGGTCCGCTCCTACGTCGCCCAGGCCCGCACCTACCGCCCTGTCGTACCCGCTGCTGTCTCTGAATACATCTCCAAGACATACGTTCGTATGCGTGGTCAACAGAAACGCGCTGAGAAGAAGGGCGAGCAGTTCACCCATACTACGCCGCGTACTCTTCTCGGCGTTGTCCGTCTCGCTCAGGCCCTAGCCCGCCTGCGCTTCAGCAACGAGGTCACCCACGACGACGTCGACGAGGCCCTCCGCCTCGTCGAAGCCTCCAAGGAGAGCCTCGCCGCTGAGCAGAGTGCCAGCGGTCGCCAGCGCCTCAACGCCAGCAGTAGGATCTACAACCTCGTCAAGAGTCTCGCTGACAGTGGCGCCTGCCGTGCCGACGATGCCGACGACGATGATGAGGAGCTCGGCGTCGAGCTCAGTCTGCGTAAGGTCAAGGAGCGTGTCATTGCCAAGGGCTTCACTGAAGACCAGTGGCTTTCTGCGCTGGAAGAGTACAACGAGCTTGATGTAAGTTTTCTCATCCTCATTCGATACCCACGGACAAGGCTAACCCACATTCAAACAGGTTTGGCAAACAGCTGGAAACGGCACAAGGCTTGTCTTCATCACTTCCAATGGCGCAGAGAGGGAGGAGTAGTCCATTGCCTTGGTTGCAGGGGGTCTTGTCGGGGAGCTTGCGTAGTGTCCTTGCAAAGAATATTGTTGTCTTACTTAGTTTGCATCTGCAAAATGAAGTTTTGGGCATTGTGGCGTTTGGTTCAATAATAGGATGAAGAACAGCAGAGACGTGGGACGCGGAGAAGTCGACGACTTGGTCCGGTCATACGAAAGAAAAAATAATGAAACCCGGTCAGAACCAACATATGAGCCCCCTGATCATCTTTCCGTGAATCACGAACCGGTCGGTCATTGCAATAGCTTGAGACTCCCCACGACTTTAGATATATGATTGTATAGTACAAAATTTGACCCCTTCTACAGCGGCATCTTGGTACACTGGTACATGTATGCACATACACACGTCTGCTCCCTTTTTTGACGCAGCTTCTCAATTCTGTTTCCCCTAGTACTGCAACACGCGCGAGTTGAGCAAGCTCGCCCGCTCCAGCTCGCCAAGAACACCACCGCCGGCGACGGTCCACTTCTCCGCGACGGTGGCCTCATCGATACGCGCGCGCATCAGGCCGCTCGCGGCCCAATATTCCATGACGGAGCGGGCCTCCTCGCGACTGATGCCGCTAACGTGGAAGGTCTCGACGCCACGGAGGGCCTCGTAGACACGATCATCATAGCCCTTGGCGTAGGGGTCCTGGGTAGGGACGTGCAGGCCGGAAGCGGCGGCAGCGGACTGGGCGAGGGCTAGGTCCATGGACGGAGAGCGAGGCGCGTTGCTGCGGCTCGTAGCAGCGACGACGGCACCACCGTTGGCGAGCGGGGTTTTGCCGGAGAGGGCGTCGACGAAGAGGCGGATGAGGGTGAGGTCGTGTGAGTGCACAAGGTTGAAGGATGGGTCGCGGTAGGCCGACATCTTCATAATGTGAGAGAGGCCGTCGAGGCCGAGGAAGACGGGTGGTCCGCCCGGAGCCGTAGTGAGCTCGTACCAGAGAGCCTGGAAGGCGGGCCAGGCGAACTCGGGCTCCTTGGCGGCCGTGGCGATGTCGAGCAGAGTACCGTCCTTGGGGACATGGAGAAGCTCAGGGTACTCCTTAGAGACCTTGTGCTGGTTCAAGACGGGACCGTTGACCTTGACAATCTGCTGAAGGAGATTGAAACAGTAGGTCGGCTGGTAAAACTGGAGTGGCTTGGTCTTGGGTACAGGGCTGTAGTCCGTGTTGGCATTGGTGAGATCTTGGGCTATGGAGTGTAAGTATCAGTGCCCTCGGAGAGTCCAATTGGACCCAAGCCTTTGGGGTAAGGCCTACCTTCGGGGATGCTAATGACAACCCAGTTGTTCAGCAGCGAGTGAGCCATGGCCTGCAGCAGCAACATGCTCTTCCCGACAATCTTGCCGCCCGTCAATACCATCCTCAACGTCTGTCTCTCCTTGGCAGCGCTGTCCAGCCTGTTCGCGAGCTTCACCGTCTCCTCTCGAACGAGCATATGGGGCCTCCGGAATAGGCCCCAGTTCTGAGTCGTCTTGAACGCCTCCAGCGTCCGGAGCTGGTCGATCAACTGGTTCGGCAGACCGACCACGGAGCCTCTGTTCTCGGCCGCGGCCAGCGTCTCCCTCCCGACGTCCTGGAGACCCTCGACGGCCAGTGCGTTGTTGTTGCTCAGTGTGATGCGCTTACGGAAGGCCTTTCGCTCTCCGGGGGCCGGCTTCTTGACCCTGACGTTGTCCCGCTTCTTGCGCGCGTTTTGGTTGATCTTGCCGCGACGAATGTGTTTTCCGATGTAGGTCACGCGGCGGACGGCGGCCGAGTCGGCAGACGAGGTTGAGAAGGCAGCGGCTCCGGAGGATGGAACGTACGAGGCGATGATGGGCACGATGCGCTGGGAGAGGATCCCGGGCGCTGAGACTGCGGCCGTCGTGGGCCTGGTGAGGCACCGCGCACAATTGGCGGCAGAAACCATCATGTGCGATTACGGAACGGAAAGAGGGAGACGAGCGGGTCCGAATTGACGTTGTTGATCGGGTTCGAGACAATCTCGTTGTTATGAGGCCATTCGTATTGGAGGGGCGTTGCGCGATTCGTCTGAGGCAGCTCGTCGAGTCGCCCTTGGGTAGCTGGGTCGTCGTGCAATGTTCTGTCCCAAGCTCACCACCAAAAAGTTCGCTGCTAGTAAATTCTCGGGACGTTAAAGCCACACCCCGTGGCACCACACTCGAGCCAATTGGAACGCTGATTGGCTGTGCCGGCAGTCGGTCCTGCGGTGGCAGTTGATCCGAGTCCTTATCGCTATCAGGGGCATCCGGAGTCCAAAATTTCCAAGCAAAGAAAAAGTTCTAGATATACCGCCCAGGCCCAAAGAGTCCCAAACTTCCTGCTCCTGCGACAGATAAAGAACACCACCACATCTCCTCTCCTGACACCGTCTGAACCACTACCAATACCAGAAGATATTGCGAAAGTTTCAGGTCCGCGACGCAAATTATCCACAATGGCGCTCCCCATCTCGCGCCCCAAGCTGCCCGTCGCAGTCAACAAGCCGACGCCGTATACCTTCGACCTCGGCCTGCTCATGGCCAACGATCCCAACCCCGTCGAGCTCGACAAGTCGGCGATCGAGGAGTCTCTCGCCGCCACGGCCCGCGATGGCGCCCAGGCTCTCATCAACCAGCTTCTTACGACCTGCCCGCTCCAGAGCACCACTGAGGGCGTCTTGCTCTCGCTGCCGCCCCCCTCGACAGAGCTCCCGCGCGAGAAACCCGTGCCGAAGCCCAAGGAGCCCACCAAGTGGGAGCGCTTCGCCGCCAAGCGCGGCATCAAGCCCAAGACCCGCGAGCAGCGCCGCAACCTCGTTTACGACGAGGACACGAAGGAGTGGCGTGCCAAGTGGGGTTACAAGGGCATGAACAAAAAGGGCGAGGATGACTGGCTTGTCGAGGTTGACCCAAAGGAGGAGATGAATCGCAAGGAGGGAACTACCGTTCAGGGCGACAAGCGCCGGGAAAGGAAAGAGAGGATCAAGCGTAATGAGAGGAAAATGAGGAAGAACCAGCGTGAGGCGGGGAAGCGGTAAAAGGAAAGCTCAAAAGGTTTTGTTATGCTTCGCGGTTCGGCATATGGTCACGGCGTTTACACGGCGGTTCGTCATTTCCAGTCCCTACGGCTTGGGTGTAGGTAGGGTTATCAAAAAGTATGAATTCATCTCGCAGGCCAAGATTCCTGACTGCGATAACAACCCAACACGTTGGATCGGGCAACAGTCTCTTTGCTGTGAAGTTTTTCTCTTGTCCATCTCCCAAGGGGCTGGGGGGGGGGGGGGGGGGGGGGGAGCTTGACGTGGCTGTTGCCGCGCGATCACCCTTCTTCGCTCTACATACAACATCTCCCTGTATTGTACAGAGGTCCCTCCAACCCCTGCGGTCATGTTGTTCGTGACCTGTGACCCTATCCCTTCCCCGCCTTTACCAGCATTTCATGAATGCTCCTGGCTCGCCCTATACTGCCATGCTACTAAAGACCAAACATCGCTAGATTCGCAGCACTTCACAAAGGAGATAGAAATATTAGGTACCCAAACCTAGAGACCACCACGAGCGATAATCGCCGCGCAGTGGCTCTGGTAGCCAGGAATTTGCGGGTTGGTGTCAAGTTGACCAAGGCAATTTCCTGAAAACAGTAAAATCGACGGCTTTTGTGATATGATTCGATGCCCTGGGGGTATACCAAATAGCACAATGCGTTATTGCAAACGAAGCGAAACCTAGTCTGTGACTCCAAGGTCTGCCTGTGTGGGAGACCTATGGTAGTCCAGTCCGCGTTTTCACGGCACCCAGTCCGGGAAACGGTCGGAATAGAACGAGAGTCGTCAATGGCGTAATGTCGTTGATGATGATGTGTTGATGATGCTGCAGTTTTCCATATACACGAGTTCCGCCTGGGTATTCGATGGAAGCAAGAAACTGTGGAGAGCACTCGAAGCTAAGGTCTAGAAACCAAGTGGCGAAAGGGGCTTGATGGGTGATAAGGGGCGCAAGTCATTTCCGCCTCTGGGCACGTCTCGTCCGCTATCTATTGTGAGTGCCGTGGATATTGTCGAGCTGGATGCGACGCTACCGTTGGATTCGGAAAGTTGCAGGGGCTTTTTTTTTTGCCGTCGGTCTTTGGCTTGCTGCTCGGTACTGGCACTCGACTGCTTGCTGCTTTCGGAAGAGGACCCCGCCCGCTCGTCTACCGACATAGCAGCTATGCTTTCCTGCCCCGGCTCCTCCGTTGTCTCGCGGGAGATCTTGCGTGGTTCCGAGAGGCCTCTCGGGGGTGGTTGGTCGAACAGCTGGTACTCCTGCTCGATGAACTTTGCCTCGTTCTTGCACCCCTTCCAGCAGTCGCGCCAGTCGCAAACCAAAAACCGGAAGCAGAATGCGTCAATCTTCATGCATGGCTGGAAGCAGATGCATAAATTCCTGAAGTCCATCTTGTTCTTATCAGAGTGCGCCAGGAGCAGGCTTAGATGACAGGTGATGGCAAAGAGGAGATAATAGTTGAATGGCGACAGGTTCGACAGCTCCTCGACCAGAAGCGGGGGCACCGTTTCATAGCCGGCGCATTCCCTTGCGACTCGCTCCTGGGCTGCCTTAGGAAAGAGCTCGTCGGGCAGTTCTCGTAGCCATGCCTTCAGCATAGAGCCGATAATGTTGATGTCGTATAGGTCAGGCTGTTCAAACAGGTTGACGTCGTACTCTATCAGGGCCATTAGTAGAAAATTCTGCAATTGCATGAACGTCTGTACCAACCTTCGTCGAACCGTCTCTGCCACTTCTTGATTTGAGGCCCGCTTCCTGGCACACGATATAATCCCTCCACATCGCAACCTTTGTAATTCAGATAATCGATCGCACGCCATGGAAATGCAGGCATCCAAAACTCGGTTTTGTCTCTCGAATCCTCCAAGCGCTTGGAGATCCGTGTGCGGCGCGTCTGCTCAACGAGGGGCAAGTTGATCGTCTTCAGCACATAATGCTCGTCGTCGATGACTGGCTCTTTTTCCGTCGTGCTTCCACTGCGAGCATTCTTGCCAAACAAACGATTGCTGATCATGTCTCTTCCGCTCTTCAGACCCCCGAAGAAACCGCCATTTTGCGAGGAAGAATTTGATCGCGGATGATGGTGATCCTTTTCCTTTTGGTTTTCCTTGTTGGCCATGTCTCGAGGCGACGCGTGGTCTTCCGAGCGGTTCCGCCCGGTAGAGTTAACCATCTCTTTGAGGGACCTGTCGGATGCGGCGGGCGGCGTATTGATTGAGTAGTTGCGGCCTGTCAAGGGATGCGACGGCTCGGGTTCGTTGATCGACACGGCCACGGGACTGGGTTGTTTATCCCTGGAGCTTGAGCCGTCCTTGTCGCGAAGCGACCTGTTCCGACTTAAGATACCGAATGGCTTCGGCTTGCTCTTTTTCGTAGAAGAGTGTTGGGTGGTGGGGAAAGGGTCGTAGTCGGCGACGGAGGCCAGAGACGCGTCGGACCTGGACGGCAGGGTGGGTGCGGGCTTTTGGACGGCGTGCTCAGTGTAGGATGGTTCTGCTGGTGAAATGGCATACGGGTCAACAACTGAAGAAGTGGTCGCACGATAGGCGAAACGGGAGATGGATCAGGCAGTGGGGCCCTCCCCCCATCTGCAAAGGCAGTGGACACTACGGTCTCAAGAAGGAAAGTTATGCTCGTACCTGTAGGTTGGGTGGGTTGGTCGCTGCCCATAGGAGCATTATCGGGGCCCCTCGACATACTTTGGCCTCCCGAGTCAGTATTAGGGATGGGTGCCTGCTGCTGATTCTGGCGCGGAGGGTGTGAGGGCGAGTGCGAAGGAGAGGAGGCAATGGAATGGGACGACTTGGAGGTTTTTGAGAAATTGAAGAGGAATCCGCCGCTTTTGGAAGCCTTGCGGGGGGGTTCGTCGGGGCGGTGCGTACGGGGGCTGATGGGGTACTGTTGATGATGCTGGCGAGGGGGCGTGTCTTCGGAAGCGCGGTGGAGAGCGGAGGAGATGGGTTGATACTGCTGGAATTCGTCGTCGTCGTCTTCAAAGTTTCGATGTTCGTCGGTCAGCTGGAGAGATTGCTTGCCACTGGCGCTGGGTCTTTTCGGAGTAAACCTAAAGGGAGAGCGTGGAGATCTGGGAGAAGATTGCGATTTGGAGCCGGCGCTTGGAGGAACGACAGAGGAGGTGAGAGTTTCAGCAGAGCGCGGAACGACGTCTTCAGGCTGGTCAGCGGCAGGATGGGATCCCGACAGCGTCAGCGGCTGTGGTGCAGGCTTGCGACCCATGGCCAGGAAATTAATGTGCCTCCTCCAGGCAGCTGAGGAGAAACTGCAGTTATTTGGGGGGAAGGGGGCCCGGTCAAGGATGAATACCCGAGCAGAGCCAGAGAAAACAGTGTACCAGAGGGCGGCGACACGAACAAGGCGCAGGTAGGGTAGGGTAGACTGCGATGGGGAGGAGCAGACACAGGCGCTCTGCAACAAGGCCAGGCCAACCCGGCTTGTGTATCCGTACCGTACGAGTATGAATTCGACAGGGTAAGGTGGACGAGATGAGCCTCGGCGGGGGGGGGGTACTCTCTCTACCTAGGTAGGTGTATGGTAATGGTGATGCCCGGCTGGCTGGCTAGCTATGCGGTCGGCCGTATGCAGTGGCTTGTGCAGCAGAGGAAAGCAGCGCAAACAACGGAGACACAGGGAGTGACAGTGGCAGTGGCAGGATTTGGATGAGGATGAGATAGGTGGAGATGGGATGAGCAAAGAGTCCCAGAAACGGTCCTTATCCTGATTCGTCGTCTGCCGCAGGAGGGCCAACTGTTTTGATGCGCGCACTGGGATGGACGGATCCAGCATCTGTCGGGGATATAGGACAAGAGAGGAGAGGGGGAAACCTGCGACAGCTGGCAAAGAGGCGCAGGATGCCGCCCAACCTGTTCCAAGGTGTGTGGGCTGTGGCTATGGGTATGTGCGAAAGTGCGAGCGAGAGATGGGATGATAGCCTGAGTGTGTTTGGGAAAATAAAATAAAAATAAAAACGAAAGAGAGGGGGGGGGGGGGGGGTAGGTCGCAAGGCGGCAGACCAGTGATTAAGATGAAGATGATGATAGGGTAGGGTAGGGAAGCAAGATGGATGGATGGAGAGAAAGAAAGAGAGTGTGTGTGTATGTGAAGGTGACGGTGAAGGTAAGGGATGAGCGAGAGGAGGCACAATGTAGGCTGATGCGACTGTGTGCCACTGGGCCTTGGACGTATACACACACGTAGGACCGTCAAAGAGATGCAGTTGCCAGCCTGACCGGTTCCAGATGGTTCCCTATTGTATTCTGTGTACGAACAACAACAAAACAACAACAACAAGAGGTTGCATACGGCCTAGGTAATATGAGGGATGTATTGAATTGTTTCAACAATATGGGGAAACAGGGCCGAGAAAGGGGGGGCAATCGACGGGAAAGGAGAAAAAAAGACACCCAAGAATGCTTAGGTATATCCGGGCCGAGGGAGGAGGGAGGGAACCGGTGCAACTGACGCTGTTTGGCTGTGTCTCGTGTCTGTATCCGTACCTGGAAGCAATAGCCAAGAAGGTGATCTGTAAGGTACATATACAAAGGGGAAAGCGCTTGCGTCCTTGAACAGTGTTTGTATGTCTGAGTGTGAGTGTTAGCCGGAGCAGGATGAAGAAGACGGGAATTTGGGCGCGATGCTATTGGAGTAGGTACCTTAACACACCCACACACAACACAGTTGGAGGAGGGAGAGTAAGGAGAGGTGCACCATGTACGGTGTAGAACTGCCACTAGCAGCACAGTTGTGAACTTGGGGTAGCTACAAGCCCATGCCTGTCACGCCTGCCCGGTGTGGATCTGACCCAACAGGAGGAGAGGGCAGGGGGAGGGGGGCAGAGGATGGCTGGCAGGGAGGGGAGGGCAAGTAATACCATGCTAGTGGCTAGTACGGATACAGGTACTATAAACTCGCACAGGCGCCGGGTGGTAGGCCTACATAGATAGGTACCTGCTCAGTGTATGTCAGCCTACCTATTATCTCTTTGGACATCAGGGATGTGAGGCAGGTACCTGCACAGTAGCTGGATCGATCTATGAGGGTGGCGGCGCATCCAGGCTTTAGGCTGTACTGAATAGGTTGTTGGCTGCTGCTGTCTTTCTCAAATCAACTACCAAGGTGTGGATAGATAGGTAATACACTGTCGTGCTGCAGGGCATCCGCCGCTAGGTAGGTAGGTACCTATGCTACCACCTTATGTCGCATGCTATGGGGACCGACAAGACTGTCCTGTCCGTCTCCGTCCTCTCCAGTCATTCTGATGGGGTTCTTTTTTTTTTTCTCTCCCACCCGGCATTAATGCTCAATCTTGATGTAATTACAAATGACACACGCCCTTTCTGTCTTCCCTGGCTTGCCAAAGCCGTCGGCCGTCAGTCGGGCTTCGCCGCGGTTCTTCATCGATGGAGACGGCTGCATTCTTGGATACGCCTCCTTGCTTAATCCGCTGTGCCTCGTTCCGCGGCCGGCGCATCCAAGAAGCTCCCGCTGCTTGCAGCCTGACTAGCTGTTTGGATCCACCTGGCTAACCTCGACTGTATAGTGACAGGGCCAACGGCTCGCCTGTCTGTCCATCAGTCAGTCGCTCGCGCACAGATCAGGAACCGCCTATCCTTACACGGCTCCTAGTGTCATCGATTGGTCGACGCCGACGCCGACGCTGCTGGAGGAGCTACCGGTATTAGGAAGCCATGTCTACCTACCTACGGATGCAGTATGCTGGTACAACAATATCAGGCCCGAAAGAGGGTGTTTTCAACCGAGTAGGGATCCTAACTCGGCACTTCTAATGAAATGACAACCAAGCCATTGATCAATCACGATGGTCCCCTCGGACTCAGCGTCTGTGCTGGACTGCACAGATATTATCTGCGCCCAGTGATATCGAAAGAAGCGTCAACACTCTCCCTCACTTTGCTCAGGTGGTCTAAGGCACTTGATGCATAGGCCAACGCTTCTGTTGCAGTTCTGCTTCCATAACTGCCCAAAGACCAGACTTCTGAAACACAAACGTTTCTGCCGTCAGCCACGCACTGGGCTCATCAGGGACGCGAGCATCACCAGGGGCGGCGCTCTCTGGTTGCAGTTGCCCATGGGACCTTGGAACGGCCCAACATCTCATCATCCCCTCCCAGTACCTTGGCCCCTTTGGTTCGTTAACCATGGCCCGGCCGCGTATGGACACGCGCTATTGATATCATCGGTACAGCCGCCATTGCTTGCTTCTAAATATCTAGGTTGTATCCATCGGTGGACCCTGTCTATCTATGGCTTGGACATGCAGCTCTGCGCAGTAACAACGGCGCCTCCGTACCCAACCGCCGCCCCACACGGATATGGAAAGACCGTGTGTCCCCGTGGTGTAACGGAGCGAATGACTAAGTAAATGATGGAGCGATCTAAAGGCAACGAAGCGTGGTCGGAACGCTGGCAAGACGTGACAAGGGGCAGACGAGAAACAGGAACAGACAGGTCTGGCATGATGTGACAAGTCGCAACACTCCCTACACACCGATCATGGTCATGCCTTTGCACGGTACGACTGCACGGGCACACCAAGCCGACCGGCACACAACATCCGCCGCCTCAGTCTCCGGTTCGAATCGTTGCGCTTTCGCATTTTCAACATATTGCTGCTACAGATTGCAGGCCAAAGCCTTGTCTAAGGTAATCGCGTCATCAAGCTACACAAAAAACTTGGGCCACAGGATCGCTTCTTCGACAGAGTTTACTGTGTGAACGAGACGACGGGTCATGGCGCAAGAGTGTAACTCTGCCCAACTATCATATACCCGGTGCGTTCACTATACTGGCCATTTTCCTGGCATTTAACCTGAAGGAGGCAGTTCCGAGGGGCCAATAGAGACATATCAAGGACGCAATGCCGTCCAAATTCCTCATCTCTTGACCGTATGCTTTTCTCCGCAAGGCGACTCGTCTCTTGTGCATCTTCGACCCGCGCTGCTGGGCTGGTGCCCATGACTAGGGGATGGCCAGGACCGAAAGTTTCGGAAAGCATCAATCGCTGTACATAGACACTGCCTGCGTTCGCTGTACCCTGTAGACGGCAACCTTTCCTTGATGGCCATCGACTTTGCGACAAGACACGAAAGTCTCGCGACATAGGGGGGCAGCAAAGTACATTGCGAGTTTCTACAGATCACGCACAGAGGCTGCATCAATCGTCCGCGCAAAGTCCTCACCGCCGTACCCAAAACTTCCAGTGCATCGCCACCCCGTTTGCCGGCAATGATCAGATGCGACTGGCGGAAAGCTATTTCAGGAGTAATCGCTCAATAGGAGCGCAAGGAGCGGACGGTCTCGTCAGAACAATCGACGACCATTTGCGTATCGTTTCCATCGGAATCCAGTTCGGCCTGTCCATAGTACTAACTCCAAAGCTGCGGTTGCAACGCCAGATCTCATAGCGGTTGTACAGGTCAGCTGCCCAGACTCTGAGGCAAGACATCCGATTCGGTGGGCTATACCCATCACCCGGGGAGCCTGCAGAGTAAGAATGATCGGTTAACTAGCAGAGTGCCCTCGATAACACTCGGGGTAGTTGAGTGCTTCACTCACGATCTCGTCCACGCCCAAGGGACGGGTCAAGATTCTGACAGGGCCAGGCTAGACATGCGTCCTAGCTAGTGCGAAAAAGGATTGGTTCAGGCACACGACTGATGACTCTGAAACTCGGTAGTGTTTCCTCGACAAACGCTGGCCAAGCCCCGCGGTGGCGGACAGGATGCGCTAGATCGAAGGACATGGAACACACACACTGTCATCCACGTCCCGAACGGTGCCGGGACGGGAGAGACCCGGGAAGACAGGTATGCGCACATGGGCAGCGTGGTAGTGGCTCTGCCTTTCCCCTTTCCAGATCTGGATCTCGTGGCCAGTCCCAAGTGGCATGTAAAAGTTTCTTCATGCTGTACAGAGGAGGCATCCATCCGTATAGTCTGGGTGCGTAGATTCAAGCCCTTGTGTATTTCTTTTCCGGTCGTGACGAGGTCCTTATGGCCCATGCCATCTCAGAAGCAGGGCTCGATGAAGTCATGATTTACTCAGAGGTACGAGTCTATTCTGGGGGACAAGCCTGCCACGCCCGTCTGTGGACGGCCGTTGCCCTCTCGGTTTTCCGGCAACTTAATCACACTTGACGTTTTCCGATCCCCGGACACAGATGATCTGGTAGCCGGGGTTACTTAAGTGATCTTGAGCAT